TTATTAATAATTATCAAAATAATATTATAAATTATCAAAATGTTACTAAAATTACCTTATAGTTATCAAAATTTTATAAAAAATTATGAAAATTATATTGATGGTTACTAAAAAAATATCAAAGATTACTAAAATTGTATTATTTAATATTATCAAAAGTATATCGATGATTACTAAAATTTTATCTAAAATTATCAAAATTTTATCAATGATGACTAAAATTATATTATAAGTTACCAAATTAATATTAAAGGTTATCAAAATTGTATAGAAAGTTATCAAAATTTTATCAAAAGTTATAAAAATCAAAATTATATTAAAAGTTATCAAATTTTATTTATATTATACCAAAATCAAAATTAAATTATTAGTATTTATCATTATTATCATAATATAAAAAATTATTTATTAAAATAAATTTTTACTTTTTAAATATAAGAATTACATGTGTATTACGCACGCGTCAAAAACTAATTTACTTATTAATAATGTTATATTATTTAATTTACTTATAGCGTATAGAGTCTATACACTAAAAATTGAAAAATATAAACTTTTTAGATTTAGATTTTCGGTTTATGAAAGTTTACAATTTTTGTTTATATATATATATATATATAATTTTGGTGATGTAAAAAGGCGACAAGAAAAAATTCATTGGTGTGGCTTATGGGAGAAAAAGGAAACCCCACTATCTATGAATAAAAGCGTCATACGAAGAAAAACTGATGACTTAATCTTTATCTTCGTATTTGACATGATTTTGGAGTTTAAATATATTCATTTGGTATGGTTTACGTATCTCATCCAAACTCTATCTTTTAATTTTTTTTGTTTTGAAATTTGTAATCTATCTTTAAATTTCTCTACTTTACTTCATATCTGATTGAAAAAGATATTACGTACTTAAATTTTTTTGAATTTGTAATTTTTAAGTATTTAATAATATATCAATTGATTCAAAGAATAATCGATAACTCTATCTTAATTTTAATCTAATCCTACTTGTCTGAGGCTAATAAAAATATGATATTGGATGGTATAATTATTTTGTTTTAATGTCAACATAGGACAACAATTATCATGTGACCACTCCATCCCTTGCATGTTTCACATGAATTGTTGGATGTCATTAATTAAACAAATTTTCGAAATTTTTGCCTAAAAATACCTTTAATTAGATTAAACATAACATGTCATATTCATACAAAAATCTAATCAAAACTTTCATATTTAGTTATTTGATCATTTTGGATTTTTAAAGGATATTAACATGAAAATATATGAATTTTGAAATCAAAGAAATTAGATGAAAAAACTTAAACGACTATTGTTTAGATTAAAAACGCTTGAATAATATTTTTTTATATTTAAATTAATCAGAAATTGAATTTTGATTGAAATTAAAAGTTTAATATTTTATTAATACTTCAATAAAATACAAAAACAAAAATGTGTCAAGAGTCAGTAGAAGTTTCAATGTATTCAAAAAATAATTAACGGTGTTAATTGGTTTGATAAAATTTTGGTCAGCTCAGTTGAATGTAGATCGATGGGGACTAGATTTTTTTTTTTTTTCTTTCAGGTTGGATCCCACCAAAAAGAATGTTGTAAGATTCAGACAAACCTAGTGGAAAGTAAGCAAACTATCGAGTATGGGGTCCAATTTTCCATTTTGTTGAACATTGAGAAAGTCTTTAATTTCCTGCCTTTATTTTTCTGAAGGCCGGCATAAGCATCATTTTTTCAATAGTTTCTTAGAATTTAATCTATAATATTTTATTGTTTTATCTGTCAATTTTCATCTAATTCTTCTGTTACCTATTAAGCATCATCTTTAATCAATTTGTTTGCTAGTATGCCACTTTTTATGGTTTGGTATGGTACATTTTTTTAATTACTGTTTCAATTTGAAGCCATTATAGTATATAATTTGATTGAGGCTATTTCACTTCAAAAAACATATTTTAATTTGGTTATTATACTATTTATGTTTATTTTATTATTTTTTATAAAAAAAATTGTAATTTAAAGATCAAAAAATAAATTACGGATGTTAAGATTTAAATTACAAATCTATTGAATGTCATATTGGATTTTTATTTTATTAATTTATACAAATAATTTGGTTTGGTTTTTTTGTGTTGGTTTGTTAGCTAGTTACTATATGAATTTTAACTAATGTAATGCAACTGTATTTGATCAACAGCAAAAGATTAAACAAATAAGTTAAAGTTAATGTAATATTAATAAAATCAACTCTAAAACCAAATTATAAAGCAGGCAAAGTCAAAAAAATTACTGGAATATGACTTGATATGATATTAAAATATTATTACCTTATACTCAACTCAACCCATATAGATATAAAAATGCAACTAATCCGACTTGAGATTAATAAAATATTTTTTAATATAAATATAAAATTAAATAAATATATAAATATAAAATTAAATAAATAATAAAAAATATATTATATATATTGGATCGAGTCATAATAGGTTTGTCTAAAATCCAACCATATTCAATCTCAACCTTTTTTAAAGAAATTCGACTCGATTCGATCCGAAACTTTATTTAAAAAAAAAAAATTGACTTTATAAAATCGGGTCAGGTCAAAATCCGACAGTTTCAGATTGGATTGTCAACCCTAATTGGTCATCTCAAAATAAAATGTTAAGATTCACGATTACAAATGATGAGATTGATTACGATGTATATTTTTTTAATTAAAGTTATCAAAAACTGAATTTTGATAATTTAAATTAAAATTTTAATATTTTATCAACAAATCATACCACCGTTAACTATTTATATCATATTTTCTAATTATCACCAACAAAAAATACATTAAAATTCTCTTGTCAAAGATGAAATTCATTAAGTACGTAACTCTGAACCAGAAAATATATGAGAACAAGACTGCAAGAATTTGTGGTGGGAAAGGGTTAGCCTCAATGTCAGGGCCTTGAAACATTTTGTTTCATAATAATAAGAAGCCAGCTAGAGGAAGAGCATAATAATTAAGGGGCCACAAGTTTGACTAAACAAACTGCTGAAATTGTAGAAAGCCATTGTCGTTTTAAGCGATGAATCACAAAATTTTGTGGAGCTGGCACAACCCAACACTTGTTGACCCGCAAGGTGGCTAGACGGTGGAGACATTTTGATGCAGCCCAGTCGACAATTGGTGGAACCATGGTTATCTATTTGATAATGTGATGCACCACCAAAATGAGTGGTTCATGACCCTAATGAGCCCCAAATGCTAGAGCTGTTGCAATATGAATATGCCAAATGGTCGTCACTCACCTCCCTTTGTCACTTTTTCAATCTCGTCTTTTTCATGGAAAATTCAACAAAATTGGGAATCTCCACAACAAAGGAAGATAAATTCAAATGCAAATTATTAGTCTAATCAAACTTTTAAATGACTAAAGGCTCTTTTGGTAACATGGCTACAACTAAGATTCATGATTAAATTCTTAAAAATTCAATCATAAAATAAAATAATATTATGATGCGATGAAAATTTTGTTTATTATTTTATGAAAGAAAATCTAAAATTGATATAATTGATCTTGAATTTAAACTCTAAGTTGACATGAGATTTTATGTAAAGATGACTTAAAAAATTAATATAAAAATTTTATATTAATAATAGATAGTATTCAACATAAAGAATAATAGATGATGATATTCAAAATCAGAATCGATGATATCGTTGATGGTGTTCATATTATTCTAATAAGAGGATTTGTATTTTTAAAATAAACCATAATCAATGTGAACCTCAAATAGTATTCATATGGCCCGAGTTGCCATAAAAGAAAATCAACTATTTTTTTAACAACAAAAAATTCTTTGATTTGATTTGGTGAAAGGATCAGATTTGACTTGGTCACTTATCACATTTATTTTCAGTCTATTGTGTATCCTCTTAATTTGTCTTATTTTCTTTGAAGCTAATAATGGAGAATTTGTATTGTCAGCCTGTTTTTGTTGATTTTTTTTTTTTTTTGTGTGAATAAGAAATTCAACAATATGGGCACCCTCACCACTATATTACAAGTTTACAACCATGGAAAAAGTTCAAATTCATGATATTTGTAAAGTCATATATGCATATATGTCAAGACAACCTAATATGAATCAACAGAAAATGAGCTTCTTTCTTCAATTTTTATTTTTATTTTTTTGTTAAATTTCAGCATGGTTAGTAGGTTATAACAAGATGTATTCTATTTTTTTTATTTAAAGTTATAAGGTTTAAATCAAATTAAAATTTAATACTTTATTAACAGATCACATAACAATTTTTATTTAAAGTCTTTAATACAAATATTCGAGTTTCATTGACAATTTTATGAGTTTAACTTTAATACTCTTAAAAATATTTGATTTGTTTTCAAGATCATTATAATAATTTGATCGAATGACTTTATTATTATTTATATATTATTTTTATATAAAGTTTTAATATATTTAAATAAAAATTTTTAATATATTTAACTAAATTTTAATATAAAATTATTATTTTATTTTATATAAATTTAAAATATATAAAAATTAAATATATATATATATAATTCGATTCAATTTGATTTTTTACCTCCTTATTTGAAATTTGATATAAATTTAATATTCAAACTTAACTCAAACCGAATAAGATAAAAATCAATTCAAACCAAACTAAATACTACGATTTTGAATTTTTTTTTTTTTTTTTTCTTACCGCTAATTATTACTAGGGTAACTACTTACTGTGAGAGCAGTCCTTAACATTTTGCTAAATCCAGGCCTTCTTGGACCACATAGCAAGTATCTTTGGTTTTGCACTATGCCCTGTGTAATGTCATGGTATAGGCTAGCAGGCCCAAAATTTAATCAGCCAAATCCATCCCAAGCCCTGTTGAAACATGGGCCTTACATTTGGGGTTAGCCTCTGAAAAATCAAGGCTGAATTTGCTGGTCGGCTGCTACAAGCAAGCTGCTAAAGTTGTAAGCTCATCACCTAAAACTGCCACAAATTTTATGTTTCATGGTAATACCTTGAATTCACTGCAGTCTGCTCAAGTCTTTTGCCTCTAAATATAGAAGGAAAGAAAAGCTTCCATTCTCATGTTAAAAACTAAAGATGTATCCAGTACTAACTCTTCTTTAAAGAATTGGATTGGTGGTACAGTACAAAGCTGCAGAAGAGAACCCTAAACATGCAAGAGCAATAAACAGAATTATACTTTGCTTAGCCAACTACATTTACCATCACTCTTTCGCCACAGCGCGGGCCAAAAAAATTTAAATGTGAAAACAGGATACAAATACTCGTGCAGATGGATCTCAATTGTGCTCCTGCAAAGTACAAATGCAATCTAAACTCCTGTACCTGATAACTACATGTTCACTCTTCTAGTAGTTCCTTCAATAACAACTTGAAGGTATCCTCGTTGCACCCTTTATGAGAAATAATCTGCATTTCAGAACAGAGCACCAGAACTTGGAAAGGATGCAAATGTTTCAGAATCTCTCGGTCTCGATCATAATCCTGGTGTAGAGTTGAAAGCACAGAAATTAAACCAGGTGCTTATATACTCGTGATTAAAGGTTTCATATCAAGGAAAATCTTCCACATGTATTAAAACCAGTTTCCTTGATTACTCACCTTTTCTGTAACTATAACAATTGGCTGACAACCAAATCTGTCTTCAAGTTGTCTAAGTCGTTCTCTCATCATATGAATATCCTAGGTTCATTGACATTAGGACATCAGAACTTGATAGCTTGGAAAACAAATCTAAGACATAAAAGAATGAAAAAGGAAGAGAAATGAAATAAAATTATCATACACACTATATAGCTATGTTTCAATCATCAGTTAGCAGTCTGATAAGGTTTGTGTCTTTTCCCTTGTACTTGCATAATAAACAGATTAAAAATGTGATTAAAGCATCTTTTGTCCCTAAACAATGTAAATAAAGGAGAAGGAGCACTAACCTTAATTTGAAATGAGTGATGGTCACTGAAGTCAAATCGATCAACATATATTGGTCCTATCTGCAGCAAGTTATTCACCGTGTAACAGACCAACGTACAGACATAAATGGAGAGAAATAAGAAATTAAGAAGGCACTCCATTATATGTTATTTGAACTGGAAAATAAAGTGTATGAAGCTTCTAAATAAATAACATCAAAAAGAAAAATAATACCTTTTCCATCACCTGCACAAAAGCATCGGCAGAGCCAATGGCAGAAACACATAATACAACTGCATTATGCACAGCTCCCAGATGCACCTTTATGCTTATATTTCTCACTTCAGAGAAATATGAGGGAGCCATTCTGGTGTAGAAAATAGGAAGTGACTCTTTGATTTCTTGAATCACTAACTCAATATCTTTGAGCTTTTGTTCTAACACCTGCATGATTTTGAAGCATAAACTTTTAGGTCCATTCCTTGACATAGTACACCTACCAAGACACAAGAGAATATATGGTAATTTATATAAAAAAAAAAAACCACATATAAGACTGTGAATTGATGTTACACATTTGCAGAACTTTTGCTGAAGAACAAGCAATTATCTTCTTGGAAAGGAAAAGTTAAAGTTCAATTCCTCATACCAGGTCAGCGTGATGGACTACAGCAACATCTGCACGTTTGAGTGCCGTCAAAGGTTCTCTTAATGGTCCAAGTGGAAGTAGTTTGTGGTTTCCCCAAGGCATTAATCCGTTAATCATTACAATCTCTAGGTCACGACACAAGCTCCAATGCTGCCTTCCATATACATTAGATGAAAACTTATCAGCATTACACCTACATAAGCAAAATGTTTTTCTATTCAAGACTTACCAGATAAAGGAAAATGTAGAAGCTAAATATACAATCATATCAATTCCTGAAACAAGATTGATATTATATTTGTTCTCAACTATTGGCATCGAAAGGTATTCATCAACTTAGAAAGAAATAGGAAAGAAACTACTACCAATTAGAGGAATTTGGCCAGATAATTTCCTATTAATGAACAAAAATAGCTAGGATACACACTTGAATACTTGATAAGACATGCAATAGAACAATGCAAGGAACATGAAATAAATTGTCATACCTGCATTCCATCATCCAGAATAGCAGCACCAATTTTTTCAGAACTTATATGACTTTCCATTTTCTGGTCAAGGTACGTTTTCTCAGAGAATTTACTACCACGACAATCTACATATCCATATTTTTCAAAGAACAAATTGGCAGTGGCCATCCGATTTACACCTACGCCAACTTTTACAGGTCCTCCAAGTAGATGCCTTTGCAGCATTTTAGCTTCATCTCCACCAGCATAACCCTACAAGAGAACCAATATTTATTTTTCCAATCTGATAGCATTGCAAATTGAAAGTGACATCTGAGATACTAATTTAGCTCTATTTTTTGCCACTAAACATTGAAATTCAAAAATCAAAACAAGTCCAACCCACTCAAACCTACTTGAACCCAATCTTCCACATCAAAACAACAAATATAAATGCTACAGTTACAAAGCACCAACCACCTAACTAACTGAAAAGTACATCAATCCCTCAAGGGAGTCAAAACCTTACTCAACACGAAATATAAACAAGTCAATAACCCACAACTTGATTTTATCAAAACCCGAAATGATCCAACCCGAAACAACATGAACCCGAATGGTTCATGATCTCTCTCTATACAGGACATTAAACCTTAAACCCAAACTGATTCGTACATACACTTGCAATTTAAAAGCTTGCCAACCCGACCCGATTCTCTGTCAAAAGTTGACGATCCAAGTCCAAAATTACTCATCCCGAACCCAACCCAACCCGCAAACCACCTTTAAATAATGAAAAATCAAGTAAAACAATGAAAAGAATGCCAAAAATAAAAAATACCCTTGTTAAAATGAGAGGTGAAATTCCATAATCAGCTAAGAATTTAGCTACGAACTCAACCATTGGCGTCTTTCCATTTCCTCCCCACGTTAAATTCCCAACACTGATTACCGGCACTGGCAACCTTAAAAGAAAATTCCAATAAATAAAATAAAATAAGCAAAACATAAAATTTCAAAATAAAATCTGTCTAAATTAAGCTTAAGATAATCAATAAGGAGGAGTCGGGTTTTGGACCTGTGCTTAGAGAAGAAGCCAGAGCGGTAAAGAGCGTGACGGAGTGAGAGAACGACGCCGTAAAGGGACGAAGCAAAGGAGAGGAAAGGGATAAGAGACAGATGAAGTTTCGAGAGCCTGGCTTGGTCTTGAGCGTAGGCGATCTCTTTCACTGCTCGCTTCAGTTTCTCCATTTGAACGATTAAAGTAGCAACGAAAAGACAGGACACTGAACACTAGAAATTGGAAGAGGGAAATTATGGTTGGAACGAAGGGTAGTTTTGTAAATTAAAAAGTTATAAGTAAATAATATTGGGCCGAATATGGGGCAAAACGACATATAATTGATCTATGTTACATTTGAATTTGATTTCAAATTTTTTAGATTACTAATTGTATAAATTAAAAAAAAAATTCATTATTGAATGACATTCATTCATAGACATAATTACTATACACCATGAATTTTAAAATTTTTATATAATTTTAGTAATTTTAAATATAATTTTTCTAATATTTTATTATAATATAATCCTTAATTATATTAAAATTTTATCTATTATTTTTTACTTTTTGTCTATAGTTTTTCATTTAATTTTTAATTTTTCTTTTCATTTATTCTTTATAAAAAAAAAACAAAAATAAAATGGTCTACCAAATAGAATCTAAATAATTTGTCTAAAATTTTAAAAAATTATAACAAAAAATTATATGTGGTAGAGGCAGTTTAGGGTAGGGCTGTAAACGAGCCGAGCCGAGCCGAGTAGTGAGAAGCTCGAGTTCGAGCTCGACTCACAACTCGGGGCTCGATACTCGGCTCGAGCTCGATCGAGTTTTATTTTTCAAGCTCGAGCTCGATTCGTGATCGAATTCGAGCTACTCGAGCTCGCTCGATTAAGCTCGATTAATATGTAAAAATAAGCTCGATTTGTATACTCGACAAGAGTTCGATTATTCATGCTCGAACTCGAACTCGAACTCGGATTCGAAATATTTTTTTAATTAAAAAAAATAAAAATATATTTAAATATAAAAGCTCGATTAGGCTCGCGAGCTACTCGAGTCAGATATAAGAATACTCGAATTCGGCTCGATCGATAAGTCGAGCTACTCGAGCTCGAGCTCGACTCGACAATAATCGAACCGAATTCGAGTTTTTTTCGAATCGAACCCGAGTAGCTTGCGAGTACTAATGTATCATTTACACCCCTAGTTTAGGGTTTAAAAAGTAAGAAAAACATTTCATATAAGAATATAAGTTACCTATTTAGCAGAAGCAATTTGATCAATTTAGCTAAACTGACGTATGGAATCTACTTGAATTCTCAAATTTCACATCAACTTAATTACTTTAGCTTGAGTAATTTATCATTTTCAATCACATTGTTGATTACTAGCTTAGCTTGAGTCATCTAGGTTTAGTGGCCCATTGCATAGGAATAAATATTTTCATTCAAATACTCTTAAATAGACCTGCTCATGTGTTGAGCAACATATTCGAATCTGAAAGCTAATTTAAAATTTTAAAAGATTTAAACATTGATATTAAACTCATTAAAAGAATCTGTACAAATAAATGAAAATCAATTAAAAAATAAATTTTAGGCTTAGGTTTCATTATTTAAGACATGACCTCGACTCTAAAATTACAAAATATTTTTTATTGTAGTGAAACAAAGTTTATTTATTTTATTTTTTATAATCGATAAAACTTATTTTTTTTATACAAAATAGTTATTAAATTTTAAATTACATTCAACATAATTAAATGGGACCAAACTCAAATGACGTATACATTTAATTAAAATTAATTAAATTAATAATATATAAAAAAAATTTAATTTTAAATATTAATACTTTGGACGAATTTAAATTTTATTATTACATATATGAATGAATTTGAATAAAAAAAAGTTAAAAAATTAAGTTAGGTTGAACCTTAACTTTCTTAAAATATTAAAATATCATATTAAATTTAACTCAAACTCCATCTAACTCGACCCATGAACAAATCTACTACTAAACTAACTTGAATTTTAGCTTTCATGCCTACTTTTTGCCTTTTCTTCATTCTTACATTTTGATCAAATATTAATTTAAGCATTGAAATACAAAAGTTTAAAAAAATCTCTAACTTTTATTATCGACCTCCCTCTTTCCGTTGTGTTTTCAAATTTTTACTCTCACACAATAGCTCAACAATAATAAATGGTCTTTCATAAAATCTCTACGAAATAAAATCTTTCTATCCTTTTCTTTTTCTTTTTGCGATGGATAATATAAATTTATTTAAAAAAAAAAAAGGGAAAAGGGGAAAGCACACCTTGCTTCATTAAAACTACAACTCAATCAATTAATGCGAAAATTATCTTTGTCTCTGCTTCCATCACTCTCATTCGCTTCACGGTGGATTGAAACGTGAAACAAACAGCTCCTTCCCATCACTTTTCCAACTACATCTTCAACCATTTTACCTTTTATACGTTGTCATTAAATATTTGTTCTTTCCAAACTCGACCAAACTAGCCATGCATGAAAGTGATCTTTTTCTGATTGGCGTGTTTGGCACCAGGAAAAAATTAAAAAGTAAGGGAAAGTGAGAGAAAAAAAAAACTCAAATAAAATACTAATTAAAGAGAGATTAATATTAATATGATAGTGATAAAGTGAAAGAGTATGATTAGAGGGATCTTCAGCCAAGAGTCTTTAACATGGAGTTAATGATATGTCATATTATTATATATTTCATTTATTAGTTTAAATTTTTTTTAAAAGATAAAAATTTTTAGATTTCGATTTGCTAATTTTATATTTAAATAAATTTATTTATGTTGAATTTAATAAAATTTATACAAAATTATTTTTTATACATTTTTAATAAATTTAAACTCAAAATGATTAAAAGAAAATTAACTTTTTTTATCGCTTGAATCGATTATAATAATTTAATCCTTTGCCTAATCATACCGAAGACAAATTTTTTTTTGGAGGTTGAATGGGTTATTACCTACTCTATTGAATTTAAGTTCCTACAAGGAGAAATTGTTGACTAATTTAAAAAAAAAAAAGGTTTAGTAGTCGAATTAGTTAATTAAGTAAACTAATCATACGTGGACTCTACTAACAAAAATTTACATTAAAATGACATGAAACTTAACATGCTTTAGTTACAACTCAAATTTGACAATATTAAGTAAACTTTTTTTTTTATATATATAAAATCGTAATTTAAAAATAAAAAATAAATTATAATATTAAAATTTGAATTTCAAATTTTTCTTAAATATTTTGTGTATAAGTTGTTCTTTCTAATCATAAAATTAACAAAATTAATAATTAAACATAGTGGAGATTTGAGTTTTTTATTTGCAAAATATAAAAGAGTGTTTTATAGATATTTGTTAAGGTGATATATATTAAAAAAATTTAATAATTATTTTTTTTAAATTTTAAAAAAAGTATATTAAAAAAAATAATTATATATATTATATATACTTTTTGACTAAATTAGGTGTGTTAACTGAATAAAAAATTTTATAAATGTTTTGTAAATAAATTTATTTTTATTCATTTATTAAATTTAATAAATGATCATAAATAATATATTAAAATTTATTAAATAAATAAATAAATTATGAATAAAATAAAATTTTGTATGTTTATTGTATTTATAATCTGAAATTATATTTTAAAAAATATTTATATTTATTTATTAAATTTAATAAATAATTATAATAAAATTTTTAAAAATTATTAATTAAATAAATATATTGGGAATATCTTAAAATTCATTTATGTATATATTAAATTACAATCACGAGACATTTTCTGTTTTTATCAGCACAAAAGGCCCATGATAGTTAACCTAGTTTAATATATGATATATTAGTATTCGTAAATTATTCAGATTAGATTTAAATACAATTTAAATTTGATTCGATTATTATCGAGTCAAACTCGAGTTTGAATAGTTTGATTTATCGATCGAATTAAATTTAAATATTTTTATATTCAATTCAAATAATTTACGAGTTAATCGAATTTTTATATTTTAATTAATAAAATTTTTAAATTTAAGTTTAATTTAAAATACAAGTAATTAAATTTTTATCGAATATAAAAATTAAATTAAATTTTATATATTAATCAAATAAATTTAAATAATTTAATTTTTATTTTAAAATAAATAAAAAATAAAAAATAAATTTTAATTAACTTTTAATTAAATTTAAAATTAAAAATTAAAAATAATTTAAATTTAATACTATTTTAATTTAAACTCATCGATTATACATTTAAATTATCAGTAGAGAATCACCGCATTTCATAACAGTTATGCTTTGGGCCACCGTTGGAACCAAAAACGAAAAAGATAGGAACGCACCTGATTGATCCCATCACGGACACCCCATCAAATCAACGGATCGTATTGGCTAACTTCGTCAGACAGTCACCAAAAACGACACCATTACAAGTGATCGTAATGATTTCTGTCATCAACTATAGCCCCCACATGGGCCCACTTCCCCTACCTCTTGCTTAGGCCCACCAACACGTTGAATCAGCGATGGAGCTGAATTTCAGGATTTTTTTCTTTGTAGGAATTATTGAAGCCTCTTTTCGGATACAGGGCATCATCACCGTTGATTTGATGATGGGGGTCAATTGACGGTCCTGATTGGATGTGGACCCAGCACCGAAAAAGTTAAGAAAAAGCTGGTATGATGAATTGACCATTCAGTCCTCTGCAGCAAAAGTGAAATGAACAATTTTTGGTGGGCGTAATAGTCAAAGTGTAGTTGGTCTTTTTCAAATTTGATGGAAATTGGAAATCTCGAAAAAGCCAAGTCCAACATCGAAAAATAATGGAACCAAAAACAAGAGAGAGAAAGTGGAAAAAAAAAAATTAACAGAAGAGAGAGAGAGAGAGAGTGAGGGTTTTTAGAGAGAGAAAGTGAAAAGAAATGGGTCAGATCGTGAAGAGGAAGAAGAAAGGGAGGCCATCGAAGGCAGATCTGGCTAAAAGAGGTAGTTCGCCGGCGGTGGCTTCGGAGCCGGAGCTACGGCGGAGTCATAGGCGGAGAAATGTGAGGTATAACATCGATTACGACGATTATCTCGACGAAGACTTGGAAGAAGAAGACGAGGAAGAAGAGAGAAGGAGAGAGAAGAAGCTTAAGCTCGTTCTTAAACTTAATCAAGGTCAAGAAGCTGAGCCGCCTTCTCCTCCTCCTATGCCACCAAGCCGCGGCCTAGGTGTTTCCTCGGCGCATGGGAGGCACGCTGTGGAGGAGGAACTGGAGGAAGAAGAAGAGGACGATGAAGAAGAGGAAGAGGAAGAAGAGGAGAGTGAGAAGAAGAAAAAGATTAAGAAGAGAAGAATCAACGGTGGTGATGAAGTTGATCATGATGATGATGATGATGATGGAGTTGATGATGATGAAGAAGATGATGATCATGGTGACTGTGATGTGGAGGTATGTACTAAATCATTTCGCTGAAGCAAAGCAAAATCTCTGATAAATGCTCATCACTCGATCTTGGTGGCGCGTTAAAGTAAATTCCCTCATCTTTAGGAAGCTCAGGCCGTGAACCTGGCCAGCCAAGTCAGCCTTTGATTGACCCAAAACAAACCCCTATACTTTTCTCCTTATCTTTTAAAGAGTAAAAGACTCTTTTTCTCAAGTCATGAGACTTGTGTTGATGATGTTTCTTTTAAAGAGTACAGAGCAAACCATTTTTATTACATCCGAACCTAACGGAAAATAGTTTCTGTTTTTTTTCTCATGTTATTGATGATGCTGTCGTTGTTTGGAGGGAAACGAGAGAATTTAGGGAGAGGAAAAATAACGGTCGAAGGTCAACTGTAAAAAAGAAAAAAAACTACTAACAGAATCTGATCACGCTCCCACCTTTCTCTCTCTATATCTCTGTCCAACCAACTATTTCTCTCTCTAAATCTATGTCTTTTACAAACTCACTCTTTCTCTCTCTATTTGTGTGTTGGAAGTGTACCTATACATATAATGTCTGCTTTAGCTGTCTCAGTCTCCTGTCACTGTCTCACCCTCTTTCTCCTCTCTCTCTCTCTCTCTCTCTCTCTCTCTCTCTCTCTCTCTCTCTATCTATATCGTACTTTGCAGCTTAAGGGGTTTTATAGTTTGGGTTCTGCTTTTGGTGTAAATTTTTAGAATTTAATGATTTGTGTTTTTTAAGGATTTGGGTGTTCTGAAGTTTGGGAGTTTTGTTGGTGTTTTGGTTTTTGACAGATGAGAGGAAGAAAAGGGGAACCCAAAGGGCAAGACTCAGTTCCAGGTCTGTTTTTAATTAATTACTGGGTCCTCGATTTTTGCTCTGTTTTTGGGAGGATTTTTGTGAGTTTGAATGCTGGGGTTTTGGGGGTTTGGGTTTTCAGTGTTTCTCTTGTTGGTTTTAAGAATTTGGAAATTTGATGTGGATTTTGGTTCAACTTCTTGGTTTTGATTAGGAACGCCATCGGATCCTCCATCAGGGGTTCCATTGCCTGATAAGAAGGCATTGGAATTGATTCTTGATAAACTTCAGAAGTGAGTCTTGAACCTTTTTTTCTCTCCCTCGCTGTCTGCTTTTTTTCCCCCTTCTCAACTTGGTGTTGCTTATTCTGAGTTGCGTGTGAATTGTTGCAGGAAAGACACTTATGGTGTGTATGCTGAACCGGTTGATTCCGAGGAGGTTAGCAGAATTTACTGAGGAAGCGCTTTTGGAGTTTGATTTCATTTATCTTACTAAGTTTTGATGGATTTTACAGCTTCCTGATTACCATGATGTGATTGAGCATCCAATGGACTTTGCCACGGTGAGGAAGAAGTTGGGCAATGGGATATATTCTACATTGGAACAATTTGAGGTATGTAATTATGGTTCTAACAGGCTTGGTTTATGTAGCTGAAGTTCTCTTGGGGTAGGGGGTTTTTGTTGGGATAATTCCAAAGTGTATTTCAGATGTTTCCAGTTTATTTCTTATGGTGGTTCTTGGTTCCGTAATTCCACTTTTCTTGTGGCTTGCGCTTTGTAAGGAGGTGTTGCTTTCTCCTAGTTGTCTACTATTTGGGACATAATATTAATTAACCTTAAACCTTTGTGTTATTTTCGCCTAAACCTTCATTAGCATTATTGGAAAAATCAGTCAGCATCACATCCCCTAAAATATGTTTTTGTTCTAAAGATACAACATTGATGTGCAACCAAGTTGTGAAAGGGGAATTTTAATAGAAGCAGTGTGGATTTTTGTAGTAGCTAATGTTCAGTTTCATTGGTTGAATAAAATACTTTCAATTTTCATTAGATACTTGTGAATTTTCCTGTCAAGTTTGGTGACAGTGGGTTTTGCTTTATGATTTTTGGTAAGAAACATTCTGGATTACCATAAAACGATGTAAGATCTGGCGTATTGGAACTTGAAAATTATTGTGCTTATATTAAAGTTTTGAATGGCATAGCTCAAGTGTTGAATGTGGCATTGTGGTATATTGCACTGGGTTAATATTATGGTCATTTTACCATCTTTCCTTTCAATTGGTAAATAATGGTAGTTATAGTTTGTATGGTGGTCATATTGTATTTGCTTTCTTGCTAAGATAATGACTTGGTTCAAGGGATCTTACAAGCATAACAGTAGCTCCTTTTGATGGCTGATGAAGTTGGAAAATTTCTGATTAGAACTATGTTAATGAAGGTGGGAATTTTTAAGTTAGGTTGCAAAGAAGTACCTTCCATTTTAAATGATTGATCACCTCCAGTTCAGAGCTTTGTGCTCTTCTTTCGTTGAATGCTGTGAACAATTTCACATAGAATTCGCTTGGTTTTTTTTTTTTTTTTTGAAATTTGTAATATTTGGTCCATAGTTAACACCACAATTATGTTTTTCTAGTTTTGGATAGTTATTGATTTCAGAATTGTTGTGCTGACAACCTCCTGTCAAGATTGTCGATCTAGGAGGAAACTGGTTTGTTACGCATGGCAGCATTGGCTTATAAAGCTAGTTTTTCTTTGTTGTAGAGTGATGTCTTCTTAATATGCTCAAACGCAATGCAATATAATGCACCAGATACTATATATTATAAACAGGTACAATGTTTTCCCTCTTTCTTCGCATTAAATTATATTTTACTTCTTTGAGTATCTTCTGGGTTTTCATTATCTAACTCTCCAATTATTTTGCGAAGGCACGTTCCATTCAAGAGATGGCAAAGAAAAAGTTTGAGAAGTTAAAGATTGATGTAGATCGGTCTGAGAAAGACAGCAAGATGGAACAGAAAACATCATCTAACTTCTTAGCAAAGAAGCAAACAAAAAAACCTATCTACCGTACAACACAGGAACCTGTTTGTTCTGATTTCTCTTCAAGGGCCACTCTTGCCACTGCTGGAGATATCCAGAACTCTTCCATCACAATCCAAGCTAATGCTTGTGAGAGGCCTAGCCATACTGATGCGCTTGTAGAGGGTAACTCCTCCCTGGCTGATTATAATCTAGAGAAGACTGAAGAACAATCATCAGGTATTAAGTCCCTTTTCCAACCCATTTTTCTATTTTCGGTTGTGGCTTGGAACAGTTCAGGCTTTTCTAAACGTTGAGAAGAGGCTTTCTATGTGCGTGATGGTTTTGTTCTAGCTCTTTAATTATTCTTCTGTGTCTTAGGGAAGGGTCTTCTTTCTAAATTTGGGAGGAAGTCATCTGCACTTGATGATAATCGCCGTGTGACATACAATATATTCAATCAACCAGTAATCAGATCAGAGTCAATATTTACAACCTTTGAGGCGGAAATCAAGCAGTTAGTTGCTGTATGTAACTAGCAAACTGATTTTTCATCATCAATCATTGGCCTTTATACTCACTTGTGTTTCTTTACCAATTCAGGTTGGGCTTCAAGCAGAATTTTCATATGCTAGGAGTTTGGCTCGCTTTGCTGCAACTCTTGGACCTGTTGCATGGAAAGTTGCTTCCCGCAGGATTGAGCAAGCGCTGCCTATGGGCTGTAAGTTTGGTCGGGGGTGGGTTGGGGAGTATGAGCCGCTTCCAACACCAGTATTAACAATTGAGAATCGTGCTCCTAAGGAATCTGCCCTGTTTACAAAGTTGCACCGAGCTGCTGATGTTCGAAAGGATGATGCAACTTGTATGACCCCAGTTCGTGCTACTGATGTTCGAAAGGATGATGCAACTTATAAGACCCCAGTTCCTGCTACTGATGTTCGAAAGGATGATGCAACTTCTAAAACCCCTGTTCCTTCTAAGCCACATCCTCACAATGTCCCTGTTGCTGCTATAAGACGAGATGATTCAAGCAATGCCGCAGCTGCTGCTGCTCGTGCATGGATGTCTATAGGAGCTGGAGGCTTTAAGCAAGCAACTGAAAATTCCAGCACTTCGAAAGGCCAGATATCTGCAGAGTCGTTATACAACCCAGCTAGGGAACTTCATCCACAAGTTTCACGAGTTCGAGGGGAGTTTCCACTTTCTGCAGGGATGCAATTTCAACCACAGCTTCAGAAGAATAGTTTCCCCCTCCATGCTTTTGCAACCCAACCAGTTCGGTTGGTGACTGAAGCTCAGTTCCAAAATAGACCCATGGTTTTCCCTCAACTAGTGGCAACCGACTTGTCTAGGTTCCAAGTGCAGTCTCATTGGCAAGGTCTTAGCCCAAGAACCCAACCCAGGCAGAAGCAGGACTCGCTTCCTCCTGACTTGAATATCAGGTTCCAATCTCCGGGGTCTCCTGTGAAACAATCTTCTGGCGTTCTGGTTGATTCCCAGCAGCCAGATTTGGCTCTGCAGCTGTGAGCTCAGAGACAGATTTTCGATTGGGGGCAGTTGCCCCCAAAATCTTAAAATTTCTTTTTGTAGTTATGTAATTTATTACAAGTTTATGAAAGTCTTAATTTTGTTTCCATTGAAATTAATTAGCATTTAATTTTAAGTTTTATCATCATTATTAATATTATTATTATGTGATTAGTTAACTGTTTACTTTTAAGAAAATTTAATTTTCCTTTCCAAAGAACCTTTGATAATTATATATTTTTTCAATTTTGAACCATGAGAATTCAAATTCTAGCCTTTTGATTTAGTAAGATATATTCAACTCTTGAATGTATTAAAAAATAAGGATTAATTCTGTTGATAAAAAGGATTTTTTTTTTTCTTTTCAATTCGGATTTTATTTTTGTGAGAATCATTTTAGGATTAAAATCTTGAAATGCACCAAACAAATCTGAGGGTGTGTGTTTTTAAAATTGTTTGAAGAAGAGATTAGGATGAGATGAAATTGAGAATATCTATGGCAGCATCATAAAAAAAAAATTCACGTGATTATTACGAGTTCAAGAAAAGAATAAAATTCATTGTGAAAGATGAAAAGAAAAAAGAAAGATAACAAGAAAAAAAGAAAAATAAGAGAGAATTGCAATTCTTTTGGATTATGATCAATCAAGCTGACTGAAGCAAAGCTATAATTTTATTTAACAATTGGAAACAATGCATCAGAAATTCCAATTTTCTTGCTAAAGTCTGGCCTGACAGCTATCAAATAAACAGCCTAAACATAAAACAAGAACAACCCTTTATCAATCAATCTACAAAATATGAGCCATTAAAATTCATAGCTAAAACAGAAATTCAGGCTGTTGGAGCCGATCTTCTCATTGAAAGAATGGAAAAGAAATTCCTCTTGCTAAGCTTTGGCTTCCTCCCCCTCCTAGATTTCTTCTTATTCCTAAGAACACAAACATCTCCTTGGCAAATATATTTTGATTCGGATGATTCTGAGAAGCACCCGAAGATGTTTCGGATCAAAGCCATAGGAGGAGAAAATTTATGCTGCAAAAAGAATATATCATTCATGTTTTTTTCTTTATATTTATAAAGGGTCGATGCGTTTTTTTCTATTAGGCAATGGTCAATGTTGGTTGGCAATGACCATTTTGATTTCAGCTTAATATAGGCACACGTTTCTATGGTACCAACCATATATTAGTTTCCAAGCTTCAAACAGAAACGTGTTAGACCAATTGTGTTTTTTTCTAGCATTTAATTCTTCTTCTTTCTCTATTTTTCCGTCTAGCTTTTTTTAGAAATTTCTATTTGGTTGTCAACCCTATTCGAATAAGCCATTTTTAAATTTATAAGTAGGTCATATATTCTAACAAAACAAGGTAAATTATCTATTTCCCACGAGAATTTCAGAAGGAAAAAACAAAAAAAAAAGTACTTATTTCGAAAATTTGCCATTTCATATACCATAAATATCATAATATCATTGCACATTCATATCCAAAAATAAATATCACAAAAAAAAAAAAATCAATTGTCATTTGAATCGGTTGATATAATATTAGAGTTTGAATTGATACTTGAAAATTATAAATTTTAGTAGAGTTTATGCATATAATATTTTTTTCAACCTCCTAAATATAAGGGTAAGAAAATTTAAAAGTATGATTAAAATTTTCAAAAATATATAAGAAAAAGGGTATAGCACATGCTACGACCATGGAATATATTAATGAAAGATAAGAGGGCATGGGCTGTTATTTGACTCTGTTATAAAAGATTTACAACCAGTATACATGTATATGACCTATACTTTTAGTTGTACATATACATGTATATACATATATACATGTATGTATCTATACATGTATACATGTATGTACATATATATATATATATATATATATATATTTGATCCGTGGTTGTCATAAGTGTTTGGCTTTCCAGTCTTGATCCAGGCAACATCTGAACCCTGTTTCCTCAGCTTCTTCAGAATTGATTTGGAGTTTGTTCTGCCAGAAACAAGTGCCATACCTTGTTCTGCATCGATGGTTTATGTTGCTTACTTGCTCCTACACAAGCACTGGAATCAACCCATTAGAGAAAAGAAAAAAAAAAAAAGAACCTATGTTTTCATTCAGAAACTGAAATAGAGAAGGAGATGGATGAAAATACCTTTGATTTTCTTCAAAACTTTGGTCAGACTTTCATACCATCCTGGAGATTGGGGGTTATCTCTTAGAACTCCAATCTTCATAAAAACATCTTGTTGAAATAGAGACAATAAGAGGCAATGAATTCATAGAATTTTTGGGGGTTTTTTTTTTGGTGAATTTATTTTCTTGTAAAATATATATCATTGCTTATCACAGCATAATCAAGGGATGAACATTTTGCAAGTTTGTTTTTATTTATTTTATCAATTTTTGATAAATGAAATATTAACTTGTATGCCTTGTTATTATATTATTATTTTTTTTTTTTTTGAAAAAAAAAATGATGAGAGTGATGATTAAGAGTTGAGACTCAACCAGTGATGAACTTTGCAACTTAACCTATATATTCAAACAAAGAATAAAACTTATACAAATCTGATTATATTTTAATATATATAAGAAAATAGAACGAATTTATATGCCAATCTCATATGAATTTGATTATTTGATTCGGTGTTTAATATATTATCCTTTATTTAAAAAGTAAAATTCGAATTTATTTTCTTTAAATAAAAAAATTATATGACAATCATTGTTTTTCACAACAAAAATCGTGATCAATTAGGGTTTAATTTTTGTTTGAAACATTTTGAAAATAAAATTTTAAATACATCAAACTTTAAAAACAATTTAATATTGTTTGGGAAGTGGATTAGATCCAAATAAAATATGAAAAAAGGTGACGTCAAAAAACAACATAATACTGAGATGAACATTAATTGGTTTATTCATTTTATCAAAATTTGATAAATTAATGAAATGTTAACTTGTGTGCTTAGCATTCATTAAAAAAAAAAAAAAAACAAATGTTGATAAAGATGGTTGAGAGCAGAGATTCAACTAGTCAAACTTAGCAACTTAAGCTCTCTGTATATTAATATTCAAAGAAAGAATAAAACTTGGTACAAGCAATCTGACGATAGTTTTGGTACATATACAAGAAAATACAAGAATTTATATGCAAATAGTTCGATAGCAACCGATTATCAAACAACAGAGTCGGAAGTACTGCTTGTAGCAGATGATTGATCATTGATCTCTTCTTTCTTGGCCTCTCGACGCAATAATTTATTCCTAATTAGGTGATATGCGCATTGAGCTGTGTCGGCTAACAGCTGGAAGAACTCTTGGTACGAGTCAAGTGCTAGTTTAACGAAGAAACCAATCCATATCACAAGCAAGAACCACCCGAGGTATGGGAAAGTGATCATCACAAGTGAAATTGAAGCAAGTGGTGCAGATAAGTGACTGATATTGCTGATTATGTTAGGGCATTCGATGTCGCGGATTCGGAGCCCGAATTCAGTCACCCTGGCCGCAACATATGTTAATGTAGCACTGAAAAAGGTTAATATCATGATACTGTTGTCATCAAATGGAGAAGCATCATCTTTGTGGTATTTGAGTAACAAGAATGGAATGAAGGCCAATATGGGGAACACCAAAATTCCATGGAATGCTGCCAAGTCACCAGCGCTGGAATCAGAAGAGCAAAATAAAGAGCTTGTTAAGATTACATGATACTTGATAAAATCTACCATCTTTTGGCTAAAATTTATGGGGAAAATGTTAAACATATTTCATGGTTATATGATCATATATTAGTAAAATGACTGCATTTTTTTTTCTTTTCATTTGGGGAGGGTGATTTTGAACAGTTCTTTAAGTATATAATCATGCATCAATCATTGAACCAAATATTTGATACATAAAACTGTATAGACTGTTTTTCTTTGGATTGGCAAGGAACAAAAGCAATCAACCCTTAGAAACAAGAATCAACTCATTTAGCAAAATCGTCTAGACTGTTGAGTGCTGTATATACAGTTATCTAAACACAAAATATAAATTTCATGGCGGAGTAATGTTTGGTAAAACATGACCATGATTAATGAACTGGTTTCAAGATCAATATATAAATGCGGAAAAGCAAGTTTCCAATTATACCTGGCAGGCATTTTCTTGCAATTCTTCTGAAACTCTGATCAGATTTTTCTGCTCTTCTGTGGAACTCTGAAGGTTTAAATGATTTTCATAGGCAGCCAAGTGAGAACTGAGATCATATATTTATAGGCTCATGGCTTTTAAAGCTTGCACAGCTACCACCTATCGCTTTCGTATTTAAAACAGTTTTTTTTCCATTATTTCTAGAAACTCGAGTCTCTCTATAGTTACTCGCGGCCATTCGTGCGACCCCAAACAAGAAACTAAAGGAAAAGCGTTAGCATAAGTCAATTTATTTCTATAACTAAGAAATCGTAAGGTTTCCTATATCGTACGACACAACAATGATTCGATTTTGCAATGGCGGATTGGCTCAGTTGATCGAAATTGTTCGCCTCGACGGAATGATGTTCGATTTGAGTCTCGCGGTGGCCTGTCTTAGTGTCATTTACTATACCTGCATTTTGACTCTGCCCCATACTTTTTTGGTTAAAAAAAGCAAACAATGATTTTTTTTTTAAATGTCATCCAAACCAAATATAAGTACGGATATCACACTCATATGTCAAATTGACTTAATTTTAATATATATTTTGATGTTTAATTTTATTTTTGATCATTTACTTAAATATTTTTAGATAAAATTATTAAGGGTTGATTAATTCGATCTAACTTGAATTGATATATAATTAGCAATTAAAATTCAAAATTAAATTTTAAATCTTTTTTAACTTATGATTTTATTATGTACATTGTCCCTGTAGTTTTTTTTTTATTTTCTTTTCAAAATATTGTCATTGTAGTTAAGGAGTCTAACCTTTTTTTTTTTCTTTTAATAGAATTGTTATTTGATTTAGAGAGTATAAAATACTAGGAATGAAAAACCAAGGCGTTGGAGAGATCCCATGGGCCTTTTCTAAACAAAACCCAATTCATTTTCTTGTCAAACTGCTTTGAGTTAGGTACAATATCCATTTTTTTTTTTCTTCAGCCAAAAATGCCCACTTTTTCTTTTTTTTTTTTTTCATTTTTCCTTTTTTTTGTTAAAAGAAAAAAAAAAAGATAAAATGACCATTTGGAACAGAATTTCCATAATAAAGAGTATTGCTACATAGTAAAGATGTATAAGTATATATTTTTTTGTGGAGGAACAACCATTAATCTAGGTTCTTTCTTCTTCCACTTCTTTAGAAGAAAGAGGAGGCTCAAACAAGCTAAAAACCCTGTAAGCAGAGATCACAGCCAAAACAATGAAGCAACAAAGAACCAGGGCATGGAGAATCAAGGCCACCTTCATTTTATTGCAGAATTTTCCATAAGTACTGCAGGCTTCACTCCATGTGATTTTCTGGTCACCATTATAAGCCAAGTACACAATTTCCATCATTGCTGCCCCTGATGTGACCACCAAATAAGCTACAATCTGTTCAAAAACACACATATTTAATCTAAGGTAAAAGGTTTAGTTACTTATTGAGAAAAGAAGGAAACAAAGAGTTCTATTTGTTATGAAAGTAGAACTCTATATCTATGTTTACTTGGACACAAGGTTAGTGTTAGATTCAGGTATGTGCCTGACACGGGTACTCATAATTTTGGTAAGTATTTTTTTTAACATATTTAACCATATCTGTCGCCTTGGTACTTCAAGGAAAATGAAGGATTGGATAAACATAGCTCTATATTGCCATTATGAGATCAAGAATTAAAGCAAAACTAAGAAATGAACTAGAACTATACATGATCAGATGAAGGTATGTTAAAGTTTAAGGATTGAAGACCTGATCAGAGACAAAGAAAAGCCAAGCTCTAGTGACTAGACATCTCAGCCAGGAGGCAACAACAGCAAGAAGAGCATAACCAGCAGATATGGCACTGATGCAAACCATGTACCTGTAAAGGAATTTGGATGCTTTCTAATGAGAAAAAAGAACATAATGAAATCTTGACTAGACTGCAAAGAAATTGACAATTACATTACTTACTTGAGTCCTAGAAGATTGCTGAACTTTTCTTCTCCATAGATGTTGTTACGTTCTTTGTTGGTTACAGCTAACCATATTGTTACAGCACTTAGAGGAATCACAGAAAGCCTTAGAGAACAATCCAGGAACTTGAGAATTGGTTTTTGGGTGTTTGAGCTATCTGCAATATTACTGCTCATCATTGAAGGAAAAGTAATAACACACTTAAGCTTGGAAAAATTGGAATGCTGTTGAACTGACAACGTGTGTAAGTGGGGATACATATAAAGTTAAAGACCCTCGTAGTATGAAAACGAGGTTCTTGAAAGAGCCTAGGCATGATGTTAGGTGATATCTTAGTGGGAGGAGTGAGAAGCAGTGGGGCTATGCATTTTCAGTGAAGGAATGATGGGGTTTTATTTGTTTAGCTAAAGGAAGATGCCATGATTGATTAATTCCACGTGGCTTCAAAAGCTTGCTCCTTCCTTTTTCTTGACTAAGATAAGGTTCAGTAAACTTGATTCTGATTTCTCCAAGTGTATCCAGGACCTCTCGATTCAAATTAGAACTGTTTTTGGTCATTCAAGAAGAGCCAATCAAGCCATTTTGTCAAGAGTTTCAATCACCTCAAATGAGAAGACTAGCAAGAAAGTGACTTTTGTTTGCCTCTTTCCCACGTCATGCTTCTTAAAATTGTATCGGTAGGTGCATAAATCTGAATATCCAAGGCCAAAATCCAAATCCAGCCATCTGATGCATATACACTTATATCTGAGATGCAAGATTTCTAGTGAACTTTGCATGAGTTGACACCGTACTCATGCAATCTCCACCAGGGCGGTGATGTTTTGGCATGAAGCAAAGAAATCAAGAAAGAAATATTCATCGCCATTTCATCCACAATCATGAAAAGAGGGAAAACCAGTCAAAAGCGGGAATAAAAAAGCCGCTAATTCGTAAATCAGCAGGCATCAAAGGCTAGCCTAAATATCGGCACTTATTATGGAGTTGCCATTCACACCTACAAAACGCCCCCTGGGAGCAAATAAAGAATGGTTAATTACAAACTCTTCCCTCTTTTATAACTGCCATGGGTCTTTCTCCCTATATAAAATGGAACAACAGACACTCAGCAGCTTCAAACCCTCTTCCCCCTCCACCCCCAGCCCTGTTTCTACATTTTACATTTTGACAGTTGATACATTTCTGCCATACTTGAAGCCAAAAACCAAGGCCAATCCATTTACTTGCTTCCTCCTGAGTTTGGAGGAACTGGACTTTGTCAAAAAGCCGCACTCCACAAAGCATTCTTGCCTTCTCCACATCTCCGGTGAACCTCCTTCATCCTCTCAACTGACTTGCAAATCCCGCTGCAGGTCCAGTCGAATGAAGCAACACAGATGTTGCCTGCTTGAGCCTTCCACTCACAATCTGCAGCAATGTTGTTACCATCAATCTTTTGTTCCACATCCAGGCTTGTTAACATATACTCCTAGAACTACATGGTACTTCCTTGGCCATTCTGCTATGCTTTAGAGTACAGAAAGAAAGTTGCACACACACACAAACAGCCCCGCAGGGGGATGCAGAGTGTTAGTAAACAATTGGTATCAAAAAACCTCCTAGCATTGCTTTCATGGCCACGCTGGAAAATTTCCTTTTTCTCTTCTTTTATTCAAACACATACAAAATGGGAGAGCACTAAAAATTGAACCTAAGATCTCCACTGGATCCACCCAAATCCCCTACCACAAACCACCTAGGCCAAGCTCAGGTGGCTGTTTAAAGAGATTGTCAATGGTGACAAAGACTAAGCTAGATTGAACAGTCCAGGTGGTCATAACTTAAAGCATATGACCAGTAAAAACCACTTATTGATAACAAGTTCCTTAATAAGATGATTCAAGCTAGAATTGATGATCAAAATCTATAATTTGTCATCCCTGTAATAGGAAAGAGGTTCCAACCAAATGCCCATTTCCAGATACTAGATAGATGTGATAGAAAATAATAAGACATTTGCATTAGTTTATGACATTACCTGTGGTACCACAGCACAGTCTACGGTCATCAATATGCTCTACATCCAAACCAATAAACCATGATCCCAACGAAACATCTTCATTGGCATACTTATGCAGAACATGCCTGGAAAATTATCATTTCATAAGAAAGAAGTAAAAGACAAATGAACTTCAAACACAAAGATACAACATTCTCCTTCAGAAAAAGGGGAACTTACTGGTTAATGGATATATAGGAAGCCAAATCTTTAGAAATGGCATATAGCTGCCCTGTTGCATGGCGGAAATACTTGTTTCCCTCCTCACCAAATTTCCAATATTCAGGTTCATGGTATCTAACTCCCCTGTCCACATATGGATAAAAAGTGAGAAAATAGATATGAAGGTTATTAACTCCCAACTTTTAGCTAAAAAGATAACATCGAACATGCTTGGCTTACTTTTGAGCAAGAACTGGACCAGATTTCATGCAACCAATATAAACCCTCGACTTGGATCTATGTCTAGCTAATGTTGATCCAAGTGTTGCTGCAAAACCACATAGATAGACCAAATGTAAGAAAATATGAGGAGAAAAGCAACAACAATAATAATTTTACATTGTATCTATAAATCCCCTCAGTGTATAGCTTTGCATACAGAAGCTGTTTAGTTAAGATGGTTCAGAAACTGCAAAAAGGCTTCAATCAATTCTAATTCAACTAAATGACGCAAAAATCTGCCTCATCAAGAAGATGTGGTATATCCCAATATTCCATATCAGTCATCACATCAAAGACTTAGCTTTAAAGCTGCTAAAAGTGAGTATTCAATTTTAATCACATCGCATCTAGGAAACGTGCAGCCACATCAAGAAATGTGTTACATCCTGAAAGAGTCATCATTACAAAATACTTAGTTTCAAGTGCAACATACATTTTGGCGAGAAGGACAAATATTTTAAATAATATTGGGTTTAACATTCACCAGTCCAAAAGATAACGTTTTCCTGAAATGCAAAACCAGACAAGAAAATCATCTTTACCTATATTTACGTGCACATCATCATCAACTTTGACATAGAAATCGGCATCCCACAAAGCAGCAGCAGTGGCAAAGTATGTCTTTGTCTTGGCTGATAGTTCGAGATAACCCTCAACATGCTCCTGCTCAAATGAAATTTTTAGAAAAATAAGGTCACATGCAAGCTGTTTTCTAGATATCAAAGCAAAATAACTATGCTCTAGCTTCTAGATATCAAGCAAAGCAATAATGTTGCAGAAGAAACTCTTGCATATATGCTCTTGTAAAATAGAAAATATATAGATTAAAGCTGACAATGAACAAGATTGAGGGCAGTACCACCCTCAGAAAGTCACCATGCTTTCTGTCTTCTGCTTCAATAGCCCTATCAAGGATACCCCCCGAGGTAGCACTGTAAATTGGATGGATAAAAAGTTTAGAAGGATTCCACTCCAAGTTGAGAAGACCATAAATGAGGCAATAAGATTACAGACAACGAAAGATGTATCTGGTGGATATAAGCCCAAAACAACTAAAGGCTTCATAAAGTTGCCTTGCACCTCAACAATTTGTTGAAGCAAAGACTACAGGATACAAGATTTTTCATATTGGCAGGATAAAGAAAAGTGAAAATCCACCTAAACTAGTTTTGAACTTAGATAAAGTATCAACCTGTGACCAATTACAAATCGCATTATGATTCCCTTCTCTTCTTCAAGCTTCTTTCTTTCTTCCCCTGGTTTTCATACAGATGAGGGAACAGTAATGATTCATCTCAAGAAATTAGTTTAGAAGTATATTAAATGATAGACCAAATTCATTATTATATGGAAGAAAAGATATCAATGTACAAACCTTGAGGCATCCAGGTAGCACGAACCGAATCTCTTCGTTTTCTGCTGCTAAAAGCAGTATTGATGCCTACAACCATTAAATATTTTCGTTTCCCGCTTGATTCAGGGATTTTCAGGTCATCTGAAATGGGAGAACCATTAATTATAGATTCCTGCACGGCCCTTGCAGCAGCTAACTCCATCTCCAAATTTGATATTGTTTTATCCAGTGTTCTGCATTTATATTTAGTAAAAAATAAGCCTTCTGTCAAATTTAACAAAATCGAAGGGAACAAAGCACGGATATAAACTTACTGTATAGCATGATGAGTCCTTGAAACTTCCCCTAGTATATCCTTTGATTGCTTCACATCCTTCTGATGACAAAAGACATCATATGAGCTAACAATAACCTAGCCAAAAGTGACAAAATTTTCAAATATTTGAAAAAATACTCACTCTAATTGGATCACAGCCCTCTGAAATTAACTTTAACCTTTCATCTTTAACCCCCATTTCTCGATATACACCTTTATCCTCAGTCTCAGGCACAGTCCACATTCTAATGCCAAAAGATCTAATTAGTTTGGCATTCACATTGGTAAAATAGAACAAAAACAGAAAATGTAGATGTAATTCTCAATCTGGGAGCAATATTATCCCATAATTCTCGAAGAAATTCACACTAAACAATCACAACAGAAGCCTCCAATAACAAATTTCAGATAAAAGAACAGCAAATAAAGTGTTTGAACACTAAAATGCCATGTCAAATGAAAATTTGGTGCTCCTGGACATCTTCTGGGTTCTTATCAATTATCATAGAGCACCAAACCAGTCAAAATCTTGAGTATCATTAACTTTCAATGACACATGCTCTTACACCAGGGAAGAGAAAGAGAGGAGAGCTGATACAAGAATCTATAACACAGCTGGCACAAAACACCATTCTGGGAGCAGGCAAACGAGAAGGGAACATCAGGACACAAGGAACAGAATAGATTTCAAACTTTAATCAACCCTTACCTCAAATTTGAATTCCTTACAGATCTCAAAGATGGCAATAATTAACAAAGTAAATTTCAAATGGCCAAAACTTTAAACTCCACTATCACATAAGCATAAAACAAGGGCAAAAAAACCTCCATAATACTCTATGAAGTGCAGATCTTGGCATTACACCATCAAACAAAGTGGACTAATAAATTAAAAAGCTTGGTCCAAATAAAAATGATTATTTATCAAAAGTTTTCATAATCATTGCCACTCATAAAATCACCACAAATAAGCCATAAACCTACTAAAAAAATGTTTTAAAACCATGGTCCATGAAACTAGTTAAAAAGACAACAGCTCACTAAATTACATATATAGCCAAAAACAAAATGGTCCTGAATCACGAAATTCATGAAAATCAGAAACAAAATCCATAAAACTGATAACTTTACAAGCACCTACTTCACCAAACAGCATACACAAGCTAAAACCAAATCAAGACATGATATTTAAAGAAGCAAAAAAAAAAAAAAAGAGAGACAAATTTACCTATCAGAAAAGAGCATTCCAGCACAAAAACATCCAATGCAAAGTAAAAGAGTCCATTTTTTTGTCACCACAGACCTTGAATTTGGCTCCAATCCTTTGTTCTTCCAACTCATTTTTGTTAAAGTCTTCCTTTATTTTTCTGACTCCAAAACTAATTAAAATCTAAATCAAAACAAAACCCATTTCTTATCTCAAGTCAACAAAGCCAAAATGACCAAGATTTCAGATCCAAAAATCCCAACTTCGATTCAAATCCCAACACCAAAAACACAGAAAAACAAATAAAAACAACAAACTACAAAAAAATTGTATTTCAACACTTAAAATTTGTTTCTTTAAATTGGGTTTTGAGAATTCTTTCAGCTGGAAAAATTGTAGAGAAGAGAAAACTCAAAACTTGATGCTCTTTTGGATAGTTTTTGGAGATGACCCAACGACTTCAACTGTTGAGTTTTTTAATATAAACATATATAGAAAAAGATATAATTAATTTATTTAAATTATACAACCGACATTCAAAAAAAGTTTTCATTTTTCATCTTTTTTTTGTTTGGTTTGGTGTAAATATTAAATTGTCTGTGTCCTAGTTGTACGTTTACTGACATTTTAACAACTCCCCCAATAATAGTTTAGATAATGAACAGAGTGGATTTAATGTTTGAATTAAGTTATACTAATTGGTAGGCTTTTTATTTACAATCAAAATTAACACAATGATTAAGGTAATAAATAGAATGATTCAATGTGATTTATTAATAAAGTATTAAATTTTTAATTAATTAAAAATTACATAAAGGAGTACTGGACTCAGTTAACTCGGAACTGTTAAATGATGATAGAAACAAAGTTTTCAAACACAACGCATGTGTAATGTTTATTGTCCCCATTTGCCCGAAGACAAAAATCCTAAGAAGCAAAGAAACAATTGTAGAAACAGAATGACAAATCACATGTCCTAAGAAGGAAAGTAACTTAGTGGAGATTACTAAGGATGTCAAAAATGCAGACATTGTTTCAAGGAACTTGAAAAATCAAAGCTTAGCTTAGCTTTTCTGTTTAGATTTTGCTTTTGTCGTACAAAGCAGAGAACCATCATTCCAAAACTGTCCTAAAATCCCAGCACTTCCAAACATTCGATAAAAGATGCTTGGACACATGGGACACGTGCAAAGAACATGAGTCTAATAATGGATTCTTCACAGGTTTTCAAGATTTAGGAAGCTAGCTAGGTTTCATCATGGCATGCAGACTGAGAGAGATTCAGATCAGAAACAGGCCCATGCAACTTGTAAATGCTGGAAAATACATGGCCAGGACCCAGTTCCAGCACAAATATTTTGGATCTATACATGTGCATCCGAAATCCTCCAAGGTAAATTCCATGGCTGATGGACTGCCATTTTTGTTTTCTTGTTATCACAAAACAATTTTACAACAAACAACTCACTAAAATTACCATGAGAGATTCATGATTTACTTCGTTGACAGTTGGTTCCAAGTTATATGAAGAAAATAGTTCTTTAAAAAAAAATGCGAGACAAATAGATTGCTCCAACCTTCATATAAAAGCGTGGATTTGCAATTTCTCTACTCGTCTTGTGGGGCTTAAATTTGATTAGTACCATCAAAACTATTCATTCATAACACAAGATAATTATACATGTAATTTCATTTATCTATGTTTGCATGTTTAGTATTTCTCTTTATTAACGCAAAGAAGCAAAAGGTTAGTTGTACTTTCAAATCTCATTATCAGCAATGATTATTTGCTAGATTTTCAATTACAAAATCACCCAATATTTTTTTATTCTATAGCTTGATTTGAAGGTTTTTTTTTTTCTTTTTCTTCATCTTTCCTTTAACCAAGTTGTAAAAAGAAAGAGAGTAAAATGTAATATCAAGACTTATAGTTTTGACTTTTGCAAGAAGCCTCTTTAAATTGCCTCTTATATATATTTTAAAGACAGATAGAATGTCATCATATCAGGTTGGAAAGGGAACTAGGACCTACCATTAAGTGTATTTTGTTTGATAGTGATCATATGAACCATAAATCATGATATTAAATTTTGATAATTTGATCAAATGTACCAAACCTCTTCTTCATTAAGATATATTCTTAGTATTGTTTTATATGGTAATGCTACCTATATATTTGCATGTTGGGCTTGGTAATTTTGTCCCTTTAAAGCAAAACATCACCATTTTTCCTTTGACTTTAAATATTTCTGCTTTAGCAAGCAAAAGCTGCCAATGCACCATGAAATTATCACTTTGAGCTCTTTGTGGTTTCTATGGAGAGGGCCTTTCTTGCCATTGATAAGATCAATTTTGAGTAAAAAAAATTAACAAATAGCCCCATTATTTCAGCATGATTGCCTTCTTTCTCCTCTTCCTTTTTCTTTTTTTTATATTCTTTTCCTCCCTTTTTTCAATCTCTTGAGAGTAGGTGCAAAGTTGAGGTGGAAAGCAAAGCAAAAATGAAGGCAGGAACTCCAACCACATTGACTAGGCCACATAATAAAGGGTGTGGGTCATTGAGGCTAAGGCCCTAGCTAGGTTACCTTCTTTTGTTGCAATTTTGGGAGATTAATTGAGAAGATAGTCTATTTTTTTGTTCTTCTAATAAATAAGGATCTATTAATATGTAAGTGCAGTTGAACCAAGTTCATGTGATTAATCATCATCTCTTCCATCATTTAAAGTGGCCCCAAGCATGGCAAAAAATCAAACATTGAAACCCTTTGGCCACATGAATGTGGGTCTGCAAAATCACATGACATGAGGATATTGGAAGATCAATGCTGGCTTGATATGGGAAGGGCCAAATTTAATACTCAAACCCAAGTGGAATATTTGAGCACTAAAGCCTAGATTGCTAAATTATGCCTTTCAATTTAATTCTCTAGCTTGTTTTAAGACTTTGACTCTTTAGGAAATAAAAAGGTGAGAAAATTAAAAAAAAAAGTATAAATATAATAATCTTCAAGTACCAAAAAAGAATTGACTAGGTATTAATCATGGACTGGCCTTATGAACTTATATATATTAATTTTCTATTAAGTAGGATTAAATTGAAATGATTGGGATGTTCTAGTTGCTAATTAAATTGAAAAAAATGGCTAACCAATTTCAACATTTAACAGAAGGCTAGAAGATATACAACCACCTCCAATATTGAAAATAAGGTAATGGGGTCATGGGGTCATGGCCTATTTGATTCACATGATGCACATGTTGTCACCTAACAATGTGACTAATTCCATGTTAATTTTTATGTTATTACTGATGGCCTATCGACTTAATTTGCTTAAATAAAAATAAAATTCCATCCACTCTAAAAGATGAAAATGCTTTTTTTTTTTTTTTGGGTTTTGGAAATAAAACACTTACTATTATTAGTATTTTCCTTGGTTATTTACTTATTTTGCTCTAAAGATAATCGATCTAATTAATAATAATTCCAAAATGGACATTATAAAAATCAAACTTGGAAAATATATAGTGACATTACTTATATCATATAATTTTACTTCAATTTTCTCATCCTCCACATTCTCATTATATCTAGACTTAATAATTTTAAATATAACACGATGATATGATACAAAAACAACATAAAAAAATCATATATAAATTTAGTATAATCGTATTTCGTATCTTAATCGTGTTGACATGATTAAAAGATAATATTATTCATATCATGCTCATATCAAATAATAACGATATGCTTAAGACACGATACTATTCATATCATAAAAAAATTTTAAAATTTTATAAATTTTTTTAAGAAATAAATTAAAAATTATATTTATCGTATCATTTTGATGTTTAAATATATTATAAATTTTTAATTTTTAAATAATTTTTTATTTACATATTAATTTAGATAATATTTTTTTAAATAAATAAATTAATCGTGTTATTCATATAAATTAATTTTAAATATATTAATCGTGATATATTGTATATATAACACGTATAATAAATATAATCTTTTCCCACATCAGTGGCAACCCAATGTTCCATGTCGCTTGTAGACCAAATTCCAGCCGTCCATGTGCTTTAGTATTGCCTAATAGGCTTTCAATGTTACCATGTCATGCAACCGGTGTTATTGGGCCTCCACAAACACAGACATTGAAGCCCATTTCAAGCAGGACATCCCAGTACGAGAACCTCTCTCCGTTTTGAACCGATGCACCATTTGACGTCCACAGTCCCACGAAACACTGCACTGGCATTATGCGTGGCGGCCTGTGAGCAGGCTGGTGGTCACCGGGACCGAGCTTTGCTGGCAGCATCCGCACTTCACCTCATGTATGCAGCTTCAGCATCTTCCATCGACAGAAAGCTCTAGATCTAAGAGTCCAGTATCGATAGAACACGAGACTATTTTCTGGTCAAAGGACCACAGACCATGAAAGATTGGCTGTAATGTAAGATTCTTCATGTCCAAAACTTATTATCAGAAATTGATATTTATTGTCTTTTTAAGAACTTTTGTCGCAATGTAATGAATGATTATTTTTCTAATATTTAAACAATGAAGAGAAATGGGTGTGGTTCAAATAACCCGGATAATAAATTTGTTTAGATTTGTAGTTTGTGGAAGGCACAAGGTAGATTAATACCATGAGTTTTCTGGTTCACAAGAACAACGATTTTGTATGGTGCTAGTTCTCCAAAGACCAAAGTATAATATGACTTGCTTTGAAAATATGAAAATAGATCAACAGGATATATACTTGATCAATTTTAGAGTGTAATCAAATTAAATCAAATTAAATTAATATTATGAAAAATTCGAGCTTAAGTTTAATTTAAAATTTATTGCTTAAAATTTGATTCAAATTCGATTGAATTTTAATTTTTAAATTTAAGTTTGATTTAAAATAAAAATTAAATTACTCGAACTCACTCAATTATATTTATTTAATAAAAAATAAATTTAATTTTCATATACGATTTTAAATTCAATTATATATTTGAATTCAAATTCAAGCTTGAATTGATATATATAAAGATAAAATAACAATTTTTAATTAAAATAGTAAAAATATATTAAAATTTAAAAATTTAATTAAGTTCGTGAACTAATGGAATCAAACATTAAGACGTTCGAATTTGATTTGTTTGATAAATCAAATTATTCAAGCTTGATTCGATAATAATTGAGTTGAATTCAAATTTTATATTAATTAAATTTGAATAACTTATGAGTATTAATATATTATTTACATTCTTAACTTAATCGAAAACTATTTTCAACTTAAAAGGAAAAGGGAAATTGTTACAGAAATTATCTGAAAAAATAACAAAACAAAACAAAATTAGGGAGGACCTGACCTCATCTACAATAATAAGAACAATTCAATTGGTGGAAAGTCCCTATCACCTTGGACTTGGGTTCAGGGCCAGATTGTCCATTTCTGGTTCATGTCAATGCAGGCTTTAACAGTGCAAAGGCAGCCCGGGTTTGCTTCTGTCCCTCATTGGATGCATAGGAACTGAAGAAAGATCTGAAGCTGAATAACCATGTTTACAAATTACCTTATCTTCCATATTTACATTCTCTTGTTTCTACTAATCATCTCAGTCCCTTAAATTATCACTAAAGTATAATTAGAATTCTGGATATACACGTGAAGTTCATTGTGTGTCGTTTTAAAAGTTTCAATTAAAAATGACAGAGCAATTGAAGGAATAAATGAAACCTGAATGAAGTGTTTATTTGCATACACGCAAGCTTAAAATGACTGAAACAGAAAGGAACATGACCAATAATTTCTATGGTCCCAATTTTGGTACTTTGCAGGGCATGTCCAACCTTGTGATTGATATGGACATATCAAACACTTGTTTGAGTTGATTGGGAAGGTGATTCAATCCTGGCTTATGCGAGCTTCATTGCATTAGGTCTGAACTCTGCAAATTTCATGGCAAGTGGCCCTCTTTTTTTGGGTACAAAAGAGGCATTAACTTGGAAATAGAATGAAGGGTTATAAGTATTGAGATTCAAATCTCATATGTGCTGAATTTCAGTTCGTAAGGGTGACTGATGAATCGACTGAGTTAAGTATGATTGTAAAAGTGGCCCTCCTTAATAACATAATACTGCACATGCTGATTTTATAGAAGTACCATGAAACCAAGTATCTTATCTGATAAAATATTGTGCTTAAATGGATGCTCTAGTCAATGAATACTGCCACTCAGATATAGTTTATCTTCTTACTCAAACCTTTCATTTCATGACATTCACAACTTTTTATGATCAATTCCATGGCTCTAAATCATTCATATGCTTTATAACAGGATGAAACAATGTTTCAGCTTTCTCATAATGTTGAATATGGTCTAATTCAAACACGTGGCAATGATCATTGATTCATTCAATTTTTTTACACAAGAATGGATCTCTAATGCCCTAATGAAGCAATAGACAATTTCCAGACTACGCAACCTTTCAAAACCCCCATATACAACATTAGACTGACAAAATACTAGAATGAAAACTGAAAGAGGAAACTCTTTCCAAATGATATTACCATTTATGATGGGGAATTGATAACATCATTCAAGGAAACCTGTTTTTGTTAAAACAGCATTTCTCACTTTCCTCAAATCCCTTCCTTTGAGTTTCCTGCCAACACCTTCAAAAACTGAGAAGGAAGATATCTGACTCCTTGCAAGCCTCCGGGCAAGAATTTCATGCGGTGGAACCTTGGAATTGTATTCACCACAATCTTCTTCTTCATCATCTATCTCTCCAAAACCATTCATAACCCCGCTGTCATCATCATCATCATAACCATGGCCGCCGTCATCATCATCATCCTCATCATCATGCCATAAATCATTCCTAGAAGAAGCCTTCTTTGATTTCTTTCTAGAAATCTTTGACCAATCAGGAATGTTGACAGGAGCTGATCGCTGCTTAACTCCATTAGCTTCATGACTGGAACTAGAACTAGAACTCCCAATAATACTGCTGTTATTAGTAGCAGAGAAAGTTCTTGGGATAATTCTTGCAGCACTTGGGAGATGTCTTCTAACAGGAACAGTAGATTCAATGGATTGAACAACCTTGGAAGTAGAATCTTTTCTATCCTTGAGAACTGCCCAAACATCTTCTTCCTCAAAATCTCCATCTCTCAAGGATCTCCATACACCACTGCCTTGCCTGGAAAAAGTATATCTATCTTCCATTGCTGAATTCCTACAGAAACATCATCTACTTCACATTCACATTCAAGTTTTCACCAAATTCCATAAATTTTATACAAAGAGACAAAGGGTACTTTGAAAAAAACAATAGGGATAAAAAAAAAAGATTTATTGAGGTAAAAACGAATCTACCTTTCCCTGGGTTAAGAATCTCCAAAAGCCACAACTTTCCCAAGATTCTAAAGAGGTTATATCTACATCATGAGAAAGAAAATTCAATAAAACAAAACAGTTAAAGAAAAGTTCTATGCAAAAGAAGAACATGCCCGGTTTATCAGAATCACACAGCTTCTAAATTCAGATATCTTAAGAATCTTACCTACAAAGAAATTGATACAAAACTTAAGAGATGGCAGGTTTTGCAAAGGGACTCAACTAGGCAAAAAGAAAGACAACGGGGCAGGAAACAAAGAACAAAGAATAAGACAGACCTTACTTTTTGTCTTTACAAATCTGTTTCATTCTCTCCTACGTGATGGGTGCCTGCTAACTTAAGTAGATTTTCATTTAGGCCTTGAAGAACCTGATTCTGACAGAGGACAAAGAAAATAAAAATGAAAATACAAGGAAAAAGAGTTATAATCTGTTGGGTTGTTTGGTGTATTTTCCTGACTTTCCGTATAATCTTACATGACCAGGATTCTTCCAGGGTGAATCGTACATATATGGCTATCTAAATTCACAATAGCTATATTACCATTTCTGAACAAAGAACCCCAAAAACTTTTCATCAAAAAAAAAAAAGCTTGGTTTTGACAGAATTGAAGAGATAAGTGAGCAGTTGATCTTCAGAAATGGATTGGTTATTGGTTTTCTGGAACTGCTCTGATTAATCTAATACTCCCACTTGGAAATGTAGAGAAAATAAAACTATGGGGTTTCCATCATTCTCTTATTTTATAATCTCATTGGCAAATGTGGGGTGTCTTAATACAGACAAAAAATTGTAAATTATTTTAAATGAAAAGAATGATTTTCTTTGTCTTTGCTTCATTTCCTTCCTATAGTTGATATTGGCCATGATATTTTAACACCCTAGGTTTTATAACAACCCCCTAATACACTAGTCTTGTTAGAAAAATCACATCACATCAAATCTTTTTTTTTCTTTTTTATTTATTTTGATTTATTTTGTTGGCAATTACCGATATTGTTCCTTGGCGGCAGAGATAAATTAATATAAATATGGGCAAATTGGTGAATTTCCACCATGGCCAGCCATTTATTCTTATGCTTTCCTCATTTTTGGGTTATATAAAAATGAAAATATAGACTGAGTTGAGAGTTGAATCATAGACTTATCTCTTCTAAGTGCTACATTGAACCACTAACAATTTAAAATGTTTGGTTTTCCCTACATGCTTTATAGATATATTTGATTCCATTTAACAGTAGTGGTTGGACCGAACAGCTAATTAGAAAACAAAAAAAAAATGATTAATGTTTATTGTTCATGTTTTTAAGTGAAGTCAAAAGGCCAAAGCCTTAAATAAACAGATTCATAAGTACACATTTTTCAATAGATTTAGAAATAAATGTGGATAGTTTGGAGATGAATAATTTTTTCTTGCAAAATATTTAAGGAATTAATGATGATGTTTTCTTTTTAATTTTTTTCAATGGTTTTCATTATTATTTATAAAATTATCAAAAGTATTTTTAAATTTTATTTGAATTTAATTTTTTATGATTTAAATGTGTTTTTTTTTTTTTGTATAGATGAAACATTTAAAAATTTAATATTGAAGTATTCTTAGCATGGATGGAAGCTTTGTGATGATTTATACGGTAGCTTGGTTGTTTGGTTTAATATGTAATTTTTGCATAAAATATTATATAAATACATAAATTTAATATTTTTCACGATGCAAATATACGAATTATCATATTTATTAGTTGTACTTTAGCGTTATTCTAGATATTATTTCATAAATTTCCCACAATGCACTTTATTTATTGATTAATATATTTAATTTTCTAATTAATGCCCTTTTATTTTTTTAATATGATTCTCATGTTACTCTTTTTTTTTTTTTTGTTATATCAAAGTCCTAATACGAATAAAAAAAAATAAATCTAACTTAAAACCTTTGATGTCTCTTCAAACGACTTTAACCACTAAACCGAAATACTACTCTTCTATTTTTAATTGTGGCTTTGTCCCACCATAATTGGACGAGAAAGGTTGTAGAAGGAAGCTGTGAAAGTTGGTAGTGCAAACAAAATAAAAAATTCAAATATTTAATCACTAACAATTAAGCAACTTGATGCTCCAACCAATTGTTTATCCCTTCCTTCAAATATTCTACCTAATTAAGAAAAACAGTTATAATTACCATTTATATCCAAATAAAAATTTAAATTTTAAATAATTTTAAATTTTGTTAGCATACACATTATAAAATGAATTATATATTTTAGAACCGAGATTTATTTTTTTGGTTCATACTGTTATTTTTAAAAAATAATATTTTAGAGATTCGAAATTTATATTTTAATATTTATAATTTTATTTTTTTATGCCCAATTGTACCTTTATTTGTATTAGAAAATATATATTTTATATGTTATTATGTCTCACCAATTATACTATAAATTTCATTGATATATTAAAGCATATTTATTGTTAATTTATGAAAAAGAATCAATGAAAAGGAGGATCCATATAGAATTAAAATAGAAATTGTTTTCTTACTAGGTTTTGGTGGTTTATATCAGCCTTATTACTTGAAAGGTAGCTGCAGCAGCCATGGCCAGGTGCAAAATTGGCATATTCTACAAGGAAGTCATAGGTTCTAAGTTGAACTTTGCTTTGAACTGGATTTTGGTAAATCAATTAGGTAATTTCATCAATTTAGATGTAATTAAATTTGAAATTTAATTTAATTAATTTATATAATTATCATTAAAAAATAATATCTAATAAATTTAAAATTTAAATCTTAATATATGCAATTTTATTTTGCTATTCTCACATTGGGATTTGTTTTATAAAAAAAAATTATCATACCTTTAAAACTCAAAAGCTTATGGAAGTTGAAGATATAATTTTTTTAAGGTTGCATTCAAATAATGTAGAAAAGTTACTTAAATTTATTTTTAAAATATTAGCCAAAAGCTTGATTAAGTCAATGATGATGTCAAATCCACTAGGTGTTTACAGCACATAGATAGTTTAGGGAAAAGAAGACAAGGGAAAAGTGCTTGAAAGGCAACAAATATAATCATTTTAAAAACTGAAAAAAAAAAATAAAGAAAGGAAAGGGATAAGATACCTCAGTTAGCAATCAAACAGTTGCATGAAAAAAAATCAGTCAAAATAAACAAAAGTAGAGATGATAATATAAAAAAATTATTGGGTTAAAGTGAAATTTATTATTACATAATTCCATATTAAATTTTACCATTATATTTTTTATTTTATTAACTTTTGAATAAAATAACAAAATTAAAATATTTCATAAAATATTTTATTAATGTAAATGATAAATTTTGCCAACATATACTTTTAATTTTGTTGATTTTAGACGAATCAGAGTAAATTTCAAATATTTCACCGAATATTTTATTAATATTAATTGTAAATTTTCATTAATTTTATTATTTTATGTCTAAATAAAAGAATTGATTATGAATCATGATAAGAAGTAAAATTGAATTCTAGAGCCAAGAAATGATTAGATAAGAGACAAGCTTGTCAAATTGAAAATGAAAATTTTTATTGGAAAGGACCTGCCATCCAACAAAACGTGCCCCACATACAACAATTGGGATAGCCGTCGTTCAACGAATGTGGCAGCTCCAAATGCTTAGTGAAGAGACAAAATAAATTTATGTCACCAATGGGAAGTTTTCATGGTTTCATCATTTTCAACTTTTGTTCACTTTCTTCAAAAATAAGAAAGAGAATGTCCTTTGCTTTTGCACAATTATATCAAAATTTTCTTTGATAAGATTTTGCAGATTCATGTTCTACGGTAGATTCATTGCGAGAGAAAAAAGATGCACGATTGTGGCGGCCATGGAAGCCTAAAATGTGATCCTTGGTGGGTCATCTTGCAGTCTTTCTGTTGGGCCGACACCAAGTAAAAATGGGAAAGGAATAACTTAAACAATTGGACACCCACATTTCACACAAGACTATATTGAATAATAGCAGCATGAGCTTCATGAGCATCGCATATGCATGGTTTATGTTTGTGCTTCGGGGAAGGTAAAACTCTGAAAGTACTAAAGAAAAAAAAGAAAACAGTTAAAGATAATAATTTGGGGTGATTCTAATAATAGTATTTCGATGCTCAAATTAAAAATTGACCTGAGAATAAAAAAAAAAATAATGAAGTAAAGCTCAAAAGTTAAAAGGTTTAAGATGACTTATAAATATCAGGATAATGTTATTTATACTTATATGATGGAATATTTTTGGCTTAGGCTGTTGAGGTTTAACTTTAAGAGATTATAATTGATTTTGTAAGCATGAGCTGAGTTGATTGTTAATTGTTCATTCAGGATGTGACAAGTTAACATCTAGAATTATTAGCTTGTTGGTTGTTGAGGTAATAATTTAGATTGACATAACACATCAGCTCGATTAAAATAATCAAATTTTTTTTGCTTATCAGTTGACTTATATTAATTGAGTAATGTCTATTTTACCTTTTGGTCATTAAAATACCTTAACAGTTTATGTGAATAATTATTTTATTATGATTGTATAATTTTGTGTGTATATAACTTTTTTTTGTTTTTTTGGTTACATTAGGAAGGCAAAACCTTAATATAAGTAAAGGGAAGAGAGGAGGTTTAGTTCGAAATGAGATCCTTGATATTCCTTCAAGTGACTTTATCTACTAGGCTAAAGGCTTGAGGACTTTATTAAATGAAAAAGGTGTTTTGTCAAAGTTTACATGGTTAAATTTGATCATGAATATGACAGTTTCAAACTCAGGTTTTCAACAGCATTAGAAGAACAATTATTTTATTATGATCGTGATGAAAGTGATGATACAGTGAATGAGAAATGGGTCGATCATTGATTTGTCTCTAGAAAGATTCTTGTTTGTGAGTGAAAACAACCGCAAATCAATGCTGCAGAAATATAGAATGTCACTAGTCAATTGGATTGATATTTATGCCTTCCACTGTGACCAACTAGTAGATCAAATTTAGCCAAGCATTTGGCTCAATGACAAAGCGATTATATTTCATTTTCAATGAGTGAATTCAGATGTCTGTTCTTCAAAAATAATTGATTGAATTTACTTGCATTCTTTTGGGAAAAAACCAAGGGATTTTGATATCTGATCGTATTCATAACCACGTCAGATTTTCAAGGTGAATTAAACTCAATCAATGGAATAGCATAGACAAGGGCAGTCGGCAAAATTGAAAGCTGATAGCATTTCAGGAAAAAGATTTTCCATGATATGAACGTTCATCAGATTGACCTCCCATCAATTACAAAGAAGAAAACCCCATGTGAGCAAAAACTTAACCTGTTAACCAGGACTGTTTGTAACACATGCTGACAATTTCTCCACCAAACCTGTTAACCAGGACTGTTTATAGCACATGCTGACAATTTCCACCAAACCTGTTAACCAGGACTGTTTATAGCACATGCTGCCAATAATTAAGGTGAAGACATGAGCTTAATTGGCAAAGAGGAAGAGAATGGGCAATCATGAGTGAAATGTGAAAGATTTTAGGATAAGAACAACTTCCATCTACCCTTCTTAAATACAGCAAAATGTTCATTGCATTTCAATCTGCTCAACTCAACCTAGGATTTTCTTCTTAGTATCTTCAATAATTACAGAAACATGACTCGTGTATATGTCAAGTCAAGCACTTGACAAAGTGAACTTTATTTTTTTTTTCCAGGAAAAGTCGGTTCAATTCTTATTAAGTTCAGACGCTCTCATGAAGGTGAAAATGTTGCTATAGCTACAAGTACTGGTATGTCTAGTCAGGATCCAAGTACTGGTATGTCTAGTCAGGATCCATCATTGAGAAAATTTAATGAAGGAACAATTGAAAGAATTTGAAGAAAACTAGTTCTAAATCAACAAAAATGGAATTCTATTGCATTATAGCAACCTGAAAGATACTATCAGTAATGGTATTTATATTCACATAGAATAGTTTCATCCTCAAAGGGGTTTCCGAAACGGACTACTGAGCATCAGCTTCCTCTTCAAAATTACCTCAGTTTCATATTAGTTTCCGGTAATCGAATGACTTCGTCAGATCCTTTGTCTGTGTACGACTTCTATCTGTTATCTACTTTTAACTGCTTTATGGGTGGTGGAATAGAACTTTATATCAGATTGCAATTGAATTGAATCTGAAAGCATTTGATGACTCTGAAAGTCATGCTTGAAGCTTTTGTTGTAAAGTCCAATCATTTTTAATCGATGGTCTTTCAAAAAAGTAATAAACCTAAGGATTTGATAACCAAAAAATGCACAACTTACTTACCAGCATGTGGTATTCTCTACAGTGATATGCTTGATTTCCCGAAATCTGAAGTACTGTTGTATTTAGGATTTTGTTAATATTTCATTCCTAGATCCGAAAACTTGACAGAATAGTCAACTTTGGACTGAGCTGATCAAACTTATTAAGAACAACAGGTGTGGTGGATCGAGGATTTGTTTTCGGAGGTATCAACGTATAATATATATGAAAAATTGTCGACGGATTTATCAATTTTATGGGCATGGCATTTCAATTTATGACTTAATCTTCTGCGGAGATAGAGATGCTGGATGCATGATACTAGCTATTAAGATTTTATTTCCTGTGAGTCAGAAAACTAAAGTGACATTTAAGAAACGATAGATCATTAGATCTCAGTTACTGATAAACAATTAGCAATCACAGGCCCAAGACAAGTTTTGTTCAGAAGAAAGGAAAAATATTTTGGGCCCAAATTATTGGGTTAATAAGGTCTACGATAGTGATAGAAGCATTGAGGCTTCACTGTTCATTTTGGAAAATGCAAATGTATCTATACTCCCACTCCCCAATAAGAATTATGGGATTCTTTGATCCAAACGGTGATAAGGGTAGCTTAGTGCTTCTAGTTTTAATCAAAATTTCAATATTAGAGCTTAAAATTTTTAATGTATCTGGTAATGAACCTTCTTCATTCAGCATGGCACACTCCATAACTTCCCCTTATCCCCTCACCAAAGCAAAAGCAGAGACTAATTGAATCCTTCAGCACAATAAATTCCCATTCAAACGTGTTTAACAACTTGAGGAAAAAAAAGGATTAAACATGTTAATTTAAATCTATGAAATGCTGCTAATTTCCTTTACAGGCTCAACAGACAGACAGTAGCTGTTGTTGCCACATTCAAACAAATACCAAGCAACGTATAATTATCAACACCTATGCATCATCATTCACGATTGGTCAAATTAATTTGTTATGAGAGATAAGAAACAAGCACAACATAGATGCAAGTGACTGGCCCTTGTTACCAAAACAATTACTAATAGACCAAGGGCCATGAGAAGGTTTGAACCTGAGAGGTTACCAAACAATTAGCATATGAGCTTTCATCTGAAGGGATCAGAAGACAAGATCCAGCATAATGACATAAAAATAAAGGCCTAATTGTTCAATTGGCAAAAAAGACAGAGATTGTCAACTCCATTGGTTGTCTAGTTTCAGCAAAGCTGTATATAAACTATTGGCAGTAAGACATGCAGAATTCTTCGGATTTCACACTCAGGCTTCAAGGCTAAGTTTAGGCTAAATTTCAACTAAAAAGCTTAGGTTGTAAATCCCCCTTCAATCAATTTGTAACTAGTTCTAATTCCCAAGTTTCTTTTCATTCAATGTGCACTTTTATTAGATCCTTGTAACTGATGCTATGAATTATAAAGCAATATAGACAGATCTGACAAGAAAAACTGGATTACTTGAGATTTTAATCTCAAGTAACAACCAATAAGATTAATGTCCCCTATTCAAGCCTTTAAAACTTGATTCAATATCACATCTACAACCCATTTTGTAGCCTACTAACAGCAGTTGATTCAACAAAAGAAAGCATAACAACCATTAGTGCAGTTTGGCAATCCATCTTGTCCTTGTCCCTGAAATAAGAACAAATCAGCAGAGTAATTAAATTTAAAGATGTGATTGAGAAGGGCAAACAACTGCATTTCCTTTGATTAACTAGTTGATTATATGGGCAAGAAAATTAATGTACAAGGAAATTAAGGTTGAGTTATATCAACAAAACCTCCTTGATTAAGATATTGGCAATGATTGCACTATTTCAATCAATAATCAGACATCATTAGTTATAACTTAGAATCATTTGTTTCATCAACAAAATTTGGGATTAGTTCCATCATAATAGTGAACCAAACATCTTATTCGATTGCTATAGAAAATTAAGTATCACAAAAGGAAGCAACTTTACAAGAAAAAGCAAAAGAAAACCAATTTTCTTTATTGACCAATTGATTCAATGAGCAACAACATCAGAATTTAACACATTAATCAACAAATTTTCACCATTTCTATTACTTCTACTCTTCCTATTATTATTATTGTTCTCCCTAGATTCTAAAGTTTGACTAGAAGTCCCCAAATTGACCGGCAAAACAGATTTGGAAGCCAAAAGCTTCTTCCTTTGGAGACAAAATGGACCTCCATAGATTTTATTGAGGAACCTTGGGATTTGATCAAAATCTGAAATTTGGATCTGGGTTTGGCTTGGAATCTGAGTTGGGACTGATTCAAGTCGGACTGAGTTGAGTTTGTTGGATCTGGCATTGATTTTGGAGTCTCTTAATTGCGCTAAAGCTCCAGGCTTTAGATACTTGTGGAATGCTTCAGTTTTGAAGGATCTTGAGATGGGTTTCATTTGGGAAAATTTGGGATGGATTTAGAGTAAGTATTAGTAGTATCTTTATTTTAGTAGAGAAAGATGGGATTTTTATAGAAAAGAGGAGTGTTTGAGAGGCGGGAAAATAAGGGAGGGAAAATCGGTGGAAATTAGGGCTGAGAAAGAAAGTGAGAGACAGTTCTTAGGGCTTTGAAAAAGGATAGGGCGGGAACTGCATGGACAGGTGGACTAAGCCACGTGATTTCTGTTGTTTATTAAAGTAGAAAATGAAAATAATTGAAAAATTGGAAGTTTGTGGTTGAATTTATTAAAAACACAAAATCATAAATAAATAAATAAATTGAATTTCTATGAGAAAAAACACTTTTAGTACTATATAATTATTTTTCAATTATCCAAAAAATTTATTGTTTTTAGAGTGTTTATTATCTCAATAATAAATTTTATTGAAATTTAAAATAAAAAAACCAAGATTTCATTGTTTAATAAAAAATATAATGTGCACTAAAATTGAAGTTTTGCAAATAATTAAAGATCCTCAAAATATCTTAGGTATTTAATTGATGCTCATCTAATTTGTTGAGATCTACGTGTTTTTTTTTTTTTTTAAGGTTAGTTTAAATTATTGTTATTTTTAAAAAAGTTTGATTAAAAAAATTTTGTTTAAAAATATGATAAAAAAAGTGTGATTATAAATTTTAAGTATTTAGTATTATTGAGAAAAATTATTTTGAGTAATTAAAAATTTAAAAATATATATAATTTAATATTAAAATATAATTAAATTAATTTATATAATTATTTTTAAATGATGAAATTCGATAAATTTAATATTTAAATTTTAATTCCCGCAACACATTTTTCTATCTCCAATGCGGCCACTGCATGTAGAACAAAGTCTTGGTTGCCCAACATTGTAAGGGATATGAATAGCATGACCTAGAATGATGTGAGCTCCTCAAGTTCTTAAGCAAGAAAACAACTCTGAACTCCAAAGAAACATCCTGCTATTCTGCTGAGTGCATGATCAATTCAGCCACAAGCCATTGCTCAACCATGGATTTTGAAAGTTTGATTCCAGACTAAGGAAGGGACCTTCAAATACATGTAATAGTGTCTAATGAAAACAATCTGAATTGGTTAATGCATGTAGGTGTACAAAAAAATTTTCATCTTTCGTACGGTAAATCCAAAATTTTTGGAATAAAATACTTTTGATTAATGCACATAATATTGGAAATTGGATGCATAGATGTCACTGACTTCTTTGATTGAAACAATCTTTTGATTATTTTAAAAACTAATTGACTTTGTGGTTTACATTACCAGTGAGTGCTGTTCCTGATCCACTACACTTGCTGCCCCCTTAGTTCTGACCTACAGGCTACAGCTTCTATTCACGATATGTAGCCCTCAATGCTTTAATTGACGGCCCCTTTTGAATTTCCACCTTGTCAACTTAGCTTTCATAGAAAAAAATTATACCTAGGGGCGGCTTAAGTGTTTGCCTAGTTGACGGTTCCACCTCCGCATTCAAAGACAAGTTCGATTTTCCTTTCTCCATCCCAAACCATTAACCATGGGAAATGATATCTGGCAAATTAAGTTGCCAATTGGACTGTTTTTAATGTTCTTTCTAATTGGAAACTCGTAGAAATCGAGAGATTAGCATTCTATCAATAAATTACAACACTGCTCACGGCAGTTCCTGGAATTTGTATCATATCATTTAAAACCATGGATATGGACATAACAAAGCTGGAAATATCCTTCTTTCTTGGTCTGGCTTGCCATTTCCAACAAAGAGGGAAGTTTTGATGAAATCAATGAAAACCCAAAACTGGTATGCTAGAAAAGTACGAAAGTTCCCACTTGGCAAATTATAGGGAGATTCATTTTATCAAGGAAATTGATTTTGAAACGGCACCTCCACCTAGTACTACAAATCACTGTCCTTGCCTACTTTAATGTCCAATGCCTATCCAGAGATGACAGAAACAGGCGTGAAACTACGCTCCAACCATCCCAACAGAATATAATAATATAAGGATTCTCAATATCTCTACGGCTAATTGCCTTTGTATTCTCTTTACAGCAAACTGAAAAATAAGATAAAGAAACCAATCTTCAAATTATACATATAGTCCTTGATTAACTAAAGGAGATGCCTTCTTGTACAGATCCTGTTGCCAACAAGCTTATGGCACCCCAAGTAAAAGATGGTGGGACATGGTTTAATGATTTTTTTTTTTTGTTTTTAGTTTCTGATTTCTGGGAAAGTTTGTTGTAATGAATAATCAAGGTTGTAGTGAATGCATGGTTTTGTTTTGATCCTAGTCTTTGTAAATGTCTTAGGTTGTTGAAACATGCATATTCTGTCTGGTTTCTATTTAAGTTTTACTGCTATAGAGTTGCATTTTTTTTTTAAATAATATATCTCCAGGATTTGCCTGGGCCGAATTCCTCCCCGGGATAGTTGCTGTTTTTCTAATGCTTTTGTTGTAATCTATTCAGCTTCTGAACATGCTTTCAAAGCAATACTAACAAGTCTTCCCAAGCCTGGAGGTGGAGAGTTTGGCAAATTCTATAGCTTATCTGCTTTGAATGATCCAAGAATTGGTATGCTGCCATATCTCATGCATCTTATATATAAACTTACATATCAGGAAAAAAAAAAAAAAGGGAATGCTTTGAATTGAAATAACATTTTGACTGTATCACTCCATAAAACTCATGCTAGCAATTTTTTTTTTTTAATTTGTTTCTCTTTGTTGTTTTAATATGTTAGACCGTCTGCCATACTCTATAAGGATCCTTTTGGAATCTGCTATACGTAATTGTGACAACTTTCAAGTTACGAAGGACGATGTTGAAAAGATCATTGATTGGGAGAATACATCACCGAAGCAAGTTGAAATCCCATTCAAGCCTGCTCGTGTTCTCTTACATGTAATTTGTAGGATAAAGAGATCATTGAATCTTATCTTAGGATTTTTTTTAGCAAACTGTGAACTTTTCTCTTGTATTTACCAGGATTATACTGGAGTGCCAGCTGTGGTTGATCTTGCTAGCATGCGAGATGCTATGAAGAATCTTGGCAATGATCCTAACAAGATTAATCCACTGGTTTGTAATTGGCCCTTACATGCATTTTTTTGCCTTCTATAGTTTGCCATGAGTATATGTGGCAGTTGATACTACAACATGTCATTTAACTGATTGTTTATTTTTGCAACCAGATCCCAGTGGATTTTGTTGTTGATCACTCAGTCCAGGTTAATGTTACAAGATCTGAAAATGCCGTACAAGCAAACATGGAACTTGAGTTTCAGAGGTACAAAGAGAGATTTGCTTTCATTAAATGGGGTTCATCTGCTTTTCAAAACATGCTTGTTGTTCCTCCTGGTTCTGGAATTCTTCACCAGGTAAAGATATTTTTTCATTTTGTATCCCATTCTTGCAATGACAATAATTCACTGTTATTTGTTCAAACCAATGAGCATCTGTTGAATTGTCTCTGGCTCAATGCTTCGCTGTTAATAGTTCTGTTTTGTATGCTTCGGCACTGAGTGTGTCTCTGGATTGAATTTGTAGGTTAACCTGGAATACCTTGGACGTGTTGTCTTTAACAATGATGGAATACTATTTCCTGATAGCGTGGTTGGTACTGATTCACACACAACAATGATAGATGGGTTAGGAGTTGCTGGCTGGGGAGTCGGAGGAATTGAAGCAGAGGCAGCAATGCTAGGCCAGGTAATCTCTGCCCCTTTTTCTTCATTCTCAAGCATTGCTATCTAGTAGAAAGCTTATTTACTTTTGTTTCTAATGCTTTATTTTGCAAACTTAATTTACAGCCCATGAGCATGGTATTGCCTGGTGTTGTTGGATTCAGGTTGTCTGGGAAATTGCGAGATGGTGTCACAGCCACCGATTTGGTTTTGACTCTGACACAGATGTTGAGGAAGCATGGTGTTGTTGGCAAATTTGTTGAGTTTTATGGTTAGCTTTATGATCACAAATCTGTGAAAATGAAATATTTAACCATCAACATCTAGTCTAAAGGGCTTTAACATCATTATTATTATTTTTAATGTGCATGTAGGAGAGGGTGTGGCTGAATTAACATTGGCTGATCGAGCCACAATTGCAAATATGGCTCCTGAATATGGAGCAACCATGGGATTCTTCCCTGTAGATCATGTAACATTACAGTACCTTAAGTTAACTGGCAGAAGTGATGAGACAGTGAGTTTTTTCTTTTCCTTCGGGTTTCCTTTCTTGTGCTAACTTCTCAAATTAGTTTGGTTACTGAAGTCATGTTGGTGGTTTAACATATGTTTCTTATCTCTCAGGTGTCGATGATAGAAGCTTATTTGCGAGGGAATAAGATGTTCGTTGACTACAATCAGGTAGTGTTTCGTCAACTTCAGTAGATAGGAAAGTAAATTAAGATGGCTATCATCAATCTGACATCAAGAGGACTAATTTCATGAACAGCCTCAAAAAGAAAGAGCGTATACTTCTTATCTACAATTGGACCTTGCTGATGTTGAACCATGTATTTCAGGGCCAAAACGGTATGCACTGGTTTCAACTTAGCCACTTATTTTTCTTCAATGATCTTCATTGTTTTTCTGCTGATTCGCAGTTTTCTTTGATGCTTTCGAACAGGCCTCATGACCGAGTCCCTTTGAAAGAAATGAAGGATGACTGGCAGGCATGTCTTGATAATAAACTTGGATTCAAGGTTAGATGCAGACAGCTTCCTTGCACTTGGTTCTTCAGAAGCCTCTTGTGTGATTAGTTGCCACACTGTTAGTTTACTGAAAACAATTCATAGGTAATTGGAGTTGTTTTCTGGTGAAACCTTTCCAAACGTCTGTATCCAATAAAGCCCAGCCGGTGAGAATTTGGGACCTTTAATTAGGAGGTTTTAAGTTTAAATCTTGGTATGAGTGTTGGTTTAGTTGGATAGGACTGGCTACCTCAGCACCTCTCCTTGTGTAGCCTACAGCTCAATCGGCTCCTATGCACCAACAATTTGTTGTAATCTGTTCATTTCTTCGGTCTCATGGTTAAGCAATTGAAGATATTTTTAATTTATTCATATTTTGGAATTTTGTGCCATAATTTGTGATCCTTGTTTCCTTGCGCAGGGTTTTGCTGTGCCAAAGACAGAGCAGAATAAAGTTTCAAAGTTCACATTTCAGGGACAGCCTGCTGAACTTAAGCATGGTAGTGTTGTCATTGCAGCTATTACAAGTTGTACAAACACTTCAAATCCTAGTGTCATGCTTGGGGCTGCTCTTGTGGCTAAAAAGGCCTGTGAGCTAGGTTTGGAGGTTAGTGTTAGGCTCTTGGCTTCTTAAACTTGTTCCTCTTTGCTCAAAAAGAAAAACCACCCTGCTGTAGATAGAAGATCAGTCCTTCTTTAATTTTCTTATATTTACTTCACTTTTTTATATATCTCAGGTTAAGCCGTGGGTTAAAACCAGTCTTGCTCCTGGTTCTGGAGTTGTGACAAAATATTTGCTCAAGAGGTATGTCCATTGATTGCTATATTTCGACTGGGAGTTTGTCATCCCTGTTGTTTCTTTTCTCTTCTAAAAGGACAAGAAAAAAATCCATGAAAGAGTTACATTTGACTCTTGTTTTGGTGTCTGTAGTGGGCTGCAGAAATACCTGAACCAGCAGGGCTTTAATATTGTTGGCTATGGTTGTACAACTTGTATAGGGAATTCTGGAGAACTTGATGAATCAGTCGCTTCTGCAATTTCAGAAAATGGTAAAATTTTGTGTTATATGGAATGCTGTTTCTTCAATTGCTGCATTTATCGCTTATGAATTGCCAGGAAAGCTTCGAATTAAAGCTTTTCTTGTCAGTTTGGGATCTTTTCTCTAAAGTGTGATGATTATCTCCAATGATACTTAAAACTTCACCCATTTTCACCAGCTCCAATTTTACGGTCATTCAATTTTTTATTTTCCTCAACACTTGGTCCTTGTGATATCATTGTAATTTCTTTTCATTGATTACTATCTTGATTACTGTTATAGATATTGTTGCTGCGGCTGTTCTTTCTGGGAATCGAAATTTCGAAGGACGAGTTCATCCACTGACAAGAGCTAACTATCTTGCTTCACCTCCCTTAGTTGTTGCCTATGCCCTTGCTGGCACGGTATGTATACAACCATTACTTGTTTATTTCTCATCTTGATAAGAATCCAAATTTCAAATGTCAAACCTGATTTTCTCTTTTGCAAACAAGCTTTGAAACTTTGCAATCTGGTGCTGAATCGTTTAGTTCTTCCTGTCATACTTTTCAGGTTGATATTGACTTTGAGAAAGAGCCCATAGGAACAGGAAAGGATGGTAAGAGCGTGTATTTCAGGGATGTATGGCCTAGCAATGAAGAGATTGCAGAGGTAAACTGAGATATGCTTGGAGAAACTATTTGAAAGAAGGGACACAATGATATTGTCTAAAATTTTGAGCCCAAATAATGTGGAATTCCATGTTGTAATAGGTGGCTCAATCCAGTGTCTTGCCTGATATGTTCAAGAGTGCATATATAGCTATCAGAAAGGGCAATCCTATGTGGAATCAGCTTGATGTCCCAGCTTCTACTCTCTACTCTTGGGATCCGAACTCGACATACATTCATGAGCCTCCATACTTCAAAAACATGACAATGGAACCACCAGGTCCACATGAAGTGAAAGATGCCTATTGCTTACTCAATTTTGGTGATAGTATTACTACTGATCATATTTCCCCAGCTGGTAGTATCAACAAGGATAGCCCTGCAGCAAAGTTTCTTCTTCAGCGAGGACTGAACCAGAGGGACTTCAATACCTATGGTAGTCGTCGAGGCAATGACGAAGTGATGGCAAGGGGTGCATTTGCCAATATCCGCATTGTTAACAAGCTCTTGAAGGGAGAAGTGGGTCCAAAGACAATTCACGTTCCGACAGGAGATAAGCTTAATGTATATGATGCAGCAATGGTGAGTGTTAGCACTTAACACTGGTATTCAGAAATACATTACTTAAGCTTAGACCACAGTTACTAAGTAGTGAATATCATCTACTTGCAGAGCTACAAGGCTGCTGGGCAGGACACTATTATCTTAGCTGGAGCAGATTATGGAAGTGGCAGCTCACGAGATTGGGCCGCCAAGGGTCCAATGTTACTGGTGCAGACACATATCTATTGTTTCTTGATTATGTTTCTAGCTGCTTCTCTTCTTTATCGTCTCTTATTCACCCTTCCTTCCACAATGGTTTTTCTGCTGTGTTCAGGGAGTCAAAGCAGTGATTGCTAAGAGCTTCGAGAGAATCCATCGTAGTAATTTGGTTGGTATGGGGATCATTCCACTTTGTTTCAAGCCTGGAGAGGATGCAGATACTCTTGGATTAACAGGTCAAGAGCGTTATACAATTAACCTTCCAAGTAAAATCGGTGAGATAAGACCTGGCCAAGATGTTACTGTCACAACTGACACCGGCGAATCCTTCACATGCACCGCCCGGTTCGATACAAAGGTATGTCAAGACTCAACAGTTATAGGAAGAGAAAAGGGGACTTTTTTCCAAGCATTCAGCATTATAACCACTGGCTTGATGTATATAAATGTTTCTGATTCACGATAATTTGTCTGCAGGTGGAATTGGCATACTTTAATCATGGTGGCATTCTTCCATTTGTTATTCGTAACCTGATACAGGAGTAGGCAATTTAGCTTCAAATCTAGCCTCTCCACTTTGCAATCTGCATTGATTGATCTCTTTAAAAGCTGTTTTGGGGGGAGGGGGGTCTTCTGCATATAAACACTAGCATAGCAGAGATTTCTCGAGGCTCTAAATAAGAGCGGGAAATCTGGTGCTGCTTACATAAAGTGGGGTAATGAGGTGTAATAAAGTTGTTAATCTATGTTCATTAGAGTGGGAAAGAGAAAAAAGAAAATGGATGTTTGTATTTTTTTTAAAAGAAAATATGAATCAGATTGGAAGATCAAGTAAATAGCTTTTCTGGTCTAGTACATCAACCAACAGATCGAATTTGTATGAATCCTAAAGCTTTTCTTTGTGACAAGAAATTTATTATATGTAAATCTTGAATATCTATATTGTTACAATACATTAATGTTGTTAAACTGTAAATCAATGCTTCATTCTCTCCAGTCTCCATCTAATTTGTGGTGTAGAATGAAAAGATTTTGAATAGTTCAGTTCTTTTGACAAGAACATCAAGATAAATATTCCATATAATGTCATTAATAGTACGGCACTGAGACTAGAGAGGTTATTAAGATGCAGAAAATTGCAACAATATATCAATAATAGAATTACTGAACAAAGCAACTTCTCTTTATTCAGTTCTCGAAATAAGAAGCTCAAGTTACCTGTTATATTACAATCATAATCATTAAAGTATGCACTTCATAGCTAGCATATTTCAGCTTCATCAAAAGGATATTGGAGAAAAGAGAAAGATACAAGAAAGAAATATAAAAAATTGGTGAAACTATGACACTATATAAGTGCCTCAGCTCCAGCAGCGACTTCTAAAATCTCACTAGTGATTTTTACCTGCCGTTCTCGATTATAGACAAGGGAAAGATTCTTCTTCAATTCAACTGCATTATCAGTAGCATTACTCATTGCATTCATCCTAGCCGCAAGCTCACTCGCTAATGATTCCTGCAATGCCCGCAAGATCTGACTATTCAAATAAAGAGGCAGCAGGGCATCAAGAATCTGAACTGGATCTTGCTCAAACAGCATAAGAGGTGAAAGTTCCTCTCGTTCTGCCCTCACTCTTTCCCTCTTCACAATCAGCTTCCCTTCCTTGGTTGTCAACCGAAACAACTCATCCTCTATAGCATCAACACAATTCCCATTCACATCAAAAGTCTCTCCTTTCACTGACAATGGAAGCAAAGTACGAATCACCGGATCCGACTTTAACAAAGACACAAACTTTGAATACACAAGTTCAACCTTATCAACCTCTTCACTAACAAATAATGAGAAAACGATATCAGCAATTATATGAGCTTCTTTTACCGTAGGAAACCCTCCTCCTTCAACAAGCCTATCAACCAAAACATGATCTTTACGCCTAAAATAAGAGTTACCCTTTTTTCCTACACTAATAACAGTATAATCCAATCCAAGACCTTTCAATTCCACAATTCGGGACTCAGCCTTTTTAATAACTGCATTGTTGAAACTACCACAAAGTCCTCTATTACCAGTTATAACAACTAGAGCTACTTTCTTTACAGGCCTAATAACAGTTAAAGGACAATCAATATCTTCACCTTGTAAATTTTCATTAATGGTGCGAAGGAACTCAACTAAAGCCTCAATAAAAGGCCTACCATTGATGACAGCTTCTTGAGCTCTCCAGAGCTTTGCAGCTGCTACCAGCTTCATTGCTTCAGCGATTTTTTGAGTGTTTTTTACTGTTTCAATTCGTTCTCGGAGCTCACGGAGACGGCTTCTAATTGGAGCAAAGGGTGAAGGAGATTGAGAGAGGCCTTTTGAGGGTAATATTTGAGGGAATTGGAGAAATGGGTTTTGGTTAAATTGATAAAAGAGTGTATTTTTGTTGGAATTTGAAGGTTTTGATGAGATCCAACTCGGTAGATTTGAAGCATACATGATTCTGAGAGAGGGTTTTTGCGATGTTTGGGGTTTTAAGCTTTTTCACTTCTTTACAACTTTCACAGTTTTGAACGGTCAGACCAAAATGAGTTCTGAAGTGATGGGAAACAGAAACGACGTCGATTCGTGAAATTCTTTTTTAAAAATAATTTAATAAAAATTTTAAATTAATAGATTGATAAAATTTAATATAAAAATTAATAATATGTAAATAAATTATGAAAAATATTATTTATTATTTTATTTTGAATATTTATTAACGATAAAATTTTTATTAATTTTTTTATTAAAAATATTTATCTAAAAATTATTTTAAAATTTATTAAAATATTTTAAAATTATATATATTTAATTTATATAATAAAATCTTTTAATTTATCAATTTTAATTTAATTATTTTTAATTGAAAATTTTACAAATTTTACTTTAAAAACTTTATCTAAACTATTCTCACGAAGTTCGTACTTTAGCTGTTAGGCTCTGTTTGGACCACTGTAAGTTGTTTGTGATTATTGGTAATTTTGGCTCCCCAAATCCATTTTTCTTAAAAGAGTAATTATATTATTTTCAAATTCTTATCAATTATCTCAAATTATAATTAAATTTTAGTAATTTTTTCCATCATCTTTACTACTTAGTAGATACAGCTACTGACATGTATATATCAAACTGGTTCCTATTTCACTGTCAAATGTCATTAGCAAGCTTAAAGTACATTAAAGACAAAGAAATTTACATCTTAACCAACCCAAAAAATTATTAACAATTATTAAATATCATTGATTTAATGAAAATTTATGTGCTCCAAAATTTACAATTTGTTCACTTTTTTCGTACTTCATTTTAGTTTTATCTGGATCATATTCGATTTAATTTTTTTAAATATTATATAATATTATAAATTTTTTAAATTAAATTGAATATTTATACGATTTAAATTGAATTATATCATATTTTATCAATTCAGTTTAATTTATTAGTTTTTAAATTTTTAATTTTTTATATATTATTCTAATATAAAATTTTAATATATTTAAATAAAATTTGATATAAAATTTTAAAAAATCTATAAAAATTAAAAATAATATATAATTCGATTTAATTCAATTTTAAAAAATTTTTCATCTCTCTATTTAAATTCGATCTAAATCTATTATACATATTTAATATCTAAATTTGATTTGAACCGAATAAAAAAATGATTCAAATCAAATCAAATACTATAATTTTAAATCAATTTTTTATTTTTTTTATTTTTTTCTCACCACTTCCCCTTCTAACTTTCACAATTTCATTTTCTTTACAAATATTTTTTGGATAAGTTGTCCTTTTTACAAAAATTTTTGGATATTAGTACTCAATATGGCTTTCCAAAGTTTCTTTCAATTTTACTAATATTTATTTTTGTTCTAAAGTAAATTTTCTTTTGTGTAATTGTAAAATTATATATATTTTTTAAATCAAAACAAGCCTTAAATAAATCAAATTTAGATTAAAAAATTTTACTTGTATTTTTTTTTTAACTCAGAAACAAACAGGGCGTCACCTGATAGTCCACGCGTGACTTTCACACGCATCACGCAAGGGAAACTTAACAAGCAAAACGGCATGTCGTTTTGATCTGCTCTGTCACCTTCAACCATCCTATGCGGCAATGCCCCAAGTTCCTTAATCGAATTTACCAAAAGACAAAAGAAGCACAGCTTTAGAAGCAGAAATGTCAAAGCTGTTTGCAAGAATTGCTGGGTTCTTTAGCAATAGAACATTCATAGGTGTAGACAAAGCTGGGAATCGTTACTTTACTAGAAAAGAAGAGATTGATGGTATTCGTAAGTGGGTCTTATCCCCTTTCCTTTTTAATTCTATTTTTCTTTTCAAGTTTTGAATTTTTTTATGGATATGAGTTTTTTTTAATGATCCTGTTTTGCATTTTCTATATGGGTCTTATATTAGAGGCATTGGTTTTGTTTCAAACTTTTGTTTTCTAAACTTTTTTGCTTTGGTTTCACGGAGTTTTCTAAATGAATTCATGGATTTTCCATATGGGATTTTGAAGAATTGTAATAAACATGTAAAGTTTGGGTTTCATTTTTTGTTTCTAGTGGTTGCAATTAGTAATTGGATATTGGAATTTTCCTGTGATCAGCTTTTGCCTTCTTAGCTATTTGATTTGTTTGGAAATTAGCTCTTTGTTTATGAAATAATGTAGGAAAGACTTGAAACCTTCAATTTATCAACGTATTAGGAAGATAGATAGCTCTAGTTTCATTCGGTGTTTGACAAAACTTCAGTCTCTAGTTATTTGGGGTCTAATTATGTTTGTTTGGTGTTCTTAAGCTGGAGTTTCGGTCTCTGTCTATGGAAGTTTTAAAACTGTGATACAATTTTACTCCAAGCCTCAAAGTACTGGTCTGAGTGTGAAGTTAAATCACATTGGAGTATGTTTACCCATATAGTGAGGTTTCGAATAGGGGAAAAGGAAAAAAGAAAAAGAAAGCAGGAGTGAGAACAGCTTATTTGTAACTAATGCAGAAGTTTGTACGCCATTACTATTAAGTTTCTCTGATATCATAGTTTCGTTGATGCACTAGTAAAGGAGAAAAGATGGGTGGAATTCAAAGGAGAGGAAGATCCAACCTCCATCCCAGGTAAGCTTTTTAACAAAAGTTGCTTATTTGTTAACCATACCTGTTAACCATAGCATAAGGTAGGCAAAAGGTAACTGACCAGGCTGCATGTGGAAAACTACCTAAAGCATAAACTGCATTGTGTGTTTCCGATACTTATGATTTTTTGCAATTTGATTGCTGTAGTTGAATGGATATGTTGGTTGAATGGGCAGCGAAAGATAGCTCCTACTCCTGAGGTACTTGCAAACATATTTCATTGCATGCTTTGAGAGTGCCTTTCTCTCCACTTTTCAAAGCAGCAAAACTTTCCCTCATCAAAAGATAAAGTGAAGCAGGATTATACATTCAAATACATAAATATCTCTTAAATTGATAACATATTTGATAGAAACATTTTGGTTCCATAGTCTTTTACTTTAGTTATTAGTATTTCTGGTAAGATATCCTGGTGGAATCATTTCAACTCTGATTTTTTAGTATATTGTTTCTATCTTCAGGAAATAATGGAACTTGAAGCAAGGCGTGAACGTGTTAGGCTTAATGTTGCTCGTATGTATTACTAATAATATCACTTTACATGCTCTGTTACTGTATTTTCTGATAAAGATTTGTCTTGCCCTTTGTTTTTGGAAAAGTTCTGAAGAAGGAAGAAGAGGAAAGGAAAGCCCGAGAAGGCAGTAAGAAGGCTGTGAACTCTGGTTAGCTGTTGTTCTTGTGTCCTTCCATCTCCCTTTGCTATTTTATCTCACCCAATTGTTGATAAATGTACTGTAAATTTATAGGTAAAGTTGGAGGTCCAGACTTAAAAAGCTTCATTCGGCAATTTCCTTCTGCTTCAGAAGGTATTATATTCTTTTATTGAACTATGCATCTGTCTAAAATCTAATCAATATAATTTATTGAAGCCCAGGTGCTAATTACGTTTTCCTTCTGATGTTTTTACTCTTAGGTGACAGAGTTGAACAAACATCAGATGGAAGGTATGTGACTCAAACTGTTTTATACCATGAACAATACATTTCTGAGACTTGAAGCAATTACAATACAACTTGTTGAATTGTTTATCATAGTGGCTTATCTTTGTCCTAATCTGATTCCCATGCTCGATTTCCTTTCTTTTTTACTCACTGCTCTAATGAATATTGTTCCATACCCGCTTGGCTCTTCCCTACTGTTTCCTTTTCACTTTAGGTCTCTATCGTGTTCCTCCCTGTATTATTTTTGTTTTGGATTATGTTTTGTAGAAATAATGTGTGGCAGCCAAGGAATATTAACATAATTGGTAGTTAACTAGTAGCACCTAGCGATTCGTGTACTCGTGTCGTGTAAAATATTGAAATTCATATATACATGCCTTGTTTTACATGAAAATTACGTGTCACAATTCATATAGACATGAAAACATGAAATGTGTTTTTTTGGTTTTGTTAAACTCATGTATAGTTATTGTCAAAATTTTAAACCGTGTTATCTTTTTGTCCTTTATTTATATCATATTCATATCGTATCACCATTTCGTGTTTTAAATTGTCAGGTAATATTTCCCTCTTCCCCCTCTTTCTTAAGCATACAAAAATAAAAATGACATCAGATAGATTGAGTTGCCACTTGTGTTTATTTCATTTTCTTTTTATCATATCATGAAAATTGCTCGATGCTATGAATGCTTTAACAGCATGCCTCCTATTTTTATAGGATCAAAGAGACACAGGAAGAGAAAGGAAAACCACTTCCAGAGTAAGTTTCAGATCCTTTTGGAAAATTTACGTTTTATGTTTGCTAGCACGGATTACGATTTCTTTTATCCTCTAAACATTCTTTGTTTTTCAGGTCTTCAGAACCAACAGGATCCGGTGCATCCTATAAGCCAGGAACATGGCAACCACCAACATGATATTTGATAATCCTGGCCACGACGCCTACAGTTCTGCACTTTGATCAATCCACAGAATCTAGTCTGGGATAAATCGAATTTGTTGTTTGTTGAATCCTGATCTAAATGAATACATTCTTTGGCTGATTACATTTGAAATTCATTTTTTGGTTGAGTTTTGTTTGATGACAGTTTTTGTTGAAATTTTCTCCATGGATGTATAATTGCAGGGTTAATATAAAACATTTTGCTGCATCATGTTTAAGTTGCAGCCAGAAATGTAGGGTGCTAAAGTTTTGGTAATATTCATTTGTCACTTTCCCTGAACATAAAATATTAAAATTCACGTTTTCATTTATACGTTATACAAAAATTAAATGTCATAATTTGTTTTACTGCAAAACCATAAAATATATATTTAAATTGTATTATTTTTATATTTTTTTATATCATATTCGTATCATATTATCATATTATATTTTAAATTGATAAGTTTATCCAAATATTATTTTATAAAACGACAATTGAATTGGATGGTCTTAGCTTATACATGTTTGACATTTCTTGAAAATTTTCATTACAAAATTATGAAAATATTTATGTATTTATGTTAAATTTATATTCTCATTTTAAAAAATAATATCAATTTACAGGTTTTTTTTAGTAAAAAAAAAAACTTTTTAAACATATGTGAATTATCTAAAAGATTTTGAAGGTAACGAAAATAATTTAAAATGATAACTTTATTGCTGAAAGCTGTCATGTCAAGTTTCAAAACTCCAATGGCCGATCTTTTCCCGTTCAAAAATCTAAACAAATTTTTTTTTTAATCACAGTTAAAATAATTTTTTAATCATGATTATAATAATAATTATTATTATTTTTAATAAAAAATTTATATTAAATGTATCTAATTAATATTAAAATTGATATTTAAATTTAATTTATATTAATTAAAATTTAACCATACTTTATTAAAAATGCAGTTGCATCACTTAAAAAGTAAGTGAAATAATCATAATTTTTTCTTATTACTTTTACTAAGGTAATAATTCCTATTAAAAATAAGACAAATAAAAATTCAAATTATAATTATATTATCCACACGGGGAAAAATAATTTATTTATAAAAATATTTTAAAAACCAAAGAAAAAGTTTTTTGATAAAAAGATAAAAATATTATATATGTATGTATATATTCCTATGGATTTGGAACATATTTTTCAGATTCTTTCCCCTTTGTTCTTTTTCCATTCGTCTTTGACTCTCTCTTATTAAGCGTGAAGGCCACGCCTTTATTGTTATTATTATTCCGACTAAAAATACGAATCAAATCTTAACCATCCACGTGGACCAATTCAGACATATTCTTGACCGAAGTTGTTTCCTTTTTCGCGCGGGACTTAACCGCCTTTCAGCCTTCTATATAAACGCCCCACTGTCTCTCTTATTTTCTCATCGTATTCAATCCAAGAGTTTTCAGGCAAGGGTAGGTTTCTAAACCAAACCTTTTCGTATTTTCCTTGCTTTTCTTGTTTGTTGTGTTGGTTCTTTATATCTTTGTCTCTTGAGTTCTTCTAGTATATCTTTTTTATGTTAAGATTGGATTAATGATCTTCTGAGGTGTCTTTATTTGAGGCTTCATGGGATCCGATTCTTGTTCCTTCTAGAAACACGTTTAGTTTGTTGAATTTGGTGTTTGATTTGAATAGTTCAAGTAGTTGGTTTAATTTAGTTTTATACTAATTGTAAAGGATATTCTGATTCAAATTTTTGTGAATACAAGGATTTTAAAGTCTGGGTTTATGGCCTGGTTTGGACCTGGTTTTTGTTGAAACTTGGTTGGTCTTGAAAGAAAATTGTAGCTGTTGATACGAGGTTCTACCTTTATTAAGTCTGTTTTTGTTGATCATATACAAATCTCTTCTTGTTGTTTCATACGGTATAAATTTTTGTGATGAAGATTATTATGATGTGTTCCTGAGTTCCAACAATTCAGGGTTTGTTTATTTTTGCAGTAGTAGTGCTAAAGAAACAAAACAAGCACCCGTAGATCGTTCGAAGTCTCTACTTAACTAAGTACATGGTTGATTTAGACATTCATATCCCTACTACTTTCGATCCATTCGCTGAGGCTGGGGAATTTGGTGGCACTGGAACCAAGGACTATGTGCATATACGAATTCAACAGAGGAATGGGAAGAAAAGCTTGACAACAGTTCAGGGGCTGAAACAAGATTTGAGCTACGAAAAGATCCTCAAGAGTCTAAAAAAGGAGTTCTGTTGTAATGGGAATGTTGTGAATGACAAAGAGCTAGGCAAAATCATTCAACTCCAAGGTGATCAACGCAAAAACGTGTCACACTTCCTCGTTAATGCTGGCATAGTGAAGAAGGATCAAATTAAGATTCATGGTTTTTAGGACCTGTGAAGTTGATGCTGCTGCTCTTTTATGAATTAGGACCTTTGAAAAATAAATTTCTAGGCTGTCTCTCGTTTGGTCTTGTTTCCATTCCACAGCCCCTGGTGGGTTGAAACCATAATGGAATGTAATGTTGGAGTTTCATTAATAATGTTGGATTTTATTTGCTTTCAATCTTTGCCTTTAATTTCTACCTTTTGATCTTTGCTGGTGCTATGCCGATACTGCACTTTGGTGCATGAACTTTAGCAATTGGTTCAACTGATGTGTGGCTGTGATTGTCTATTCGGCCTTGTAATATACGTATTGCAACCTTGGTTTTGTTTGTTCAAGCTTAAACAATCTCTCTTCTCAAAATCCGTTATATATCAGGCACAAGATTCACCGAAAAATGTAAGTAAATAACTATATGCAATATGTTACACTCAAAATGACAAAACAAAACCAGACAAAGTTATGTATGAAGACCTACAAGATCACTTAAAGCCATTGTGCACTACGTTTAGGAAATTTTTGATGATTTTTGTGAGTCCAATCATATAATTCTAAAAGAGTTGGCCTTGTTGGGTTCCACTTCTCATCATGTCGCAGAACTCCTCATAGTTGATTTTACCATCCTGTAAACAAGGGAAAAGTGAGAACTGACGCATCATGCTGCATGGAAAATGTGCTTCAACAGGTAAAAAAGGGGCTTACATTGTCCGTGTCAACTTCAGATATTATTTCCTTGATTGTGTCATCATCACCCATTCCATATTCTTTCATGGCAGCTTCTAGCTCATCTCTTGTGATATACCTGCAAAAACTTACAAACACGTTATTGATTCCTTCCGTATCTGATTTAATGGTTAGTTCTGGCTCAAAAAGAAAAGAAAAGAATTAATGGTTAATCAAGGATCCCATGTCATTGATATAATGTGCCCAAAATATACTAATTCAGAGCAGCCAAATCTTATAGCCACCAAACTAAAGCAAAACTCAATACACGAAGACAAGATCAAATATAGCACAGCAATTATAAATGAGCAAGTATGATGTCTGGCCAGATCTGGCCATGGAAAATTGCACGGAAAAAGAACAGTATAAATATATTCAGAGTTAAGACAGAAATCTAACCAGCTGTTGTCCGTATCAAAATGTTGAAAAGCTTTATACAAATGTTCATCTCTTTCAAGCCTATGTCTGTGCATTGTATCAGTGATAAATTCAATGTAGTCAATAGTACCATTTCCATCCACATCAGCCTGCAACAAAAAACCAAGGTTAGTATGCATGATGTGAATTAGAATACATCTACATATTATAGATCTAAATACACTGTCTTACAGCTTCCATCAGTTGCTGAACTTCATCCTCCGTGAGCTTTGATCCAAGTCAAGCTAATCCAGTCTTAAGTTCATCATAGGTGATTGTGCCACTGTTGTCAGTGTCAATGTTTGCAAACATTTGCTTCAGACCTTGGATTTCTTCTGTAGAAAGATTTTCTGCGATGACCTATAATCCACCAGGAATGTTATTTGCTGAAGGTGAATTACACATTAGCAATGGAATAACTGGAGATCGCAAAATGACTTGCTGTTTTGCCATCATACATCAGATAACACAAAACTCATGACTAACGAGTCACATGCCTATCTCTCTCTGACTACCAATTTCAGAAAACAATGATACAATATAAATAAATTTAAACTTACCTTTAAGGCAAGTTGCTTTAGTTTGTTCATTCTTCTGAATTGCTTCATTCTGGAAAGGACTGCACTGTCTAGTGGCTTGTCTGATGCACTTCCACCTTCTCTTATTCATGGATGCTCTTAATAAACCATAGAATTTTAATCTTTGGATTGCACTTGACATGAATTATATTAACTCATAAGCCAAGCATGACATGGTAGAATAAAGCACACAAACACACAGATATAGAGAATTTTGCATTGTTCCAACTGATTTTCCTTTAACACATATACATGATGGAATGCCCGGATGCATAGCAGTAGCAGATGAAGATAGAACGAACAGGTTAAAGTACATATTTTTTAACCTATTGCTAGAGATTAACTACTTCTACAAATGCACAGCCAAAAACAAAAAAAACAAAGAAAACTATTTCTGTAAATAGTACCTAGGACTTGAGAAGAAGTAATCCGTTTTTTTGGGTCCTGTGTTAACATTTTGCGGACTAAGTCCTTGGCACTGTCTGAAATAGATGGCCATGGTTGACTTTCAAAGTCAATTTCTCCTTCCAAAATAGCATCAAATATCCCCTTCTCCTTTTCTGTGAGGAAAAACCTCCATTAAATTATCTACTAACATTGAAGTAGCAGTTTTGAAGGCAATTAAGTACAGTGACAGGTCAGGTTTTGGCAATTGATGACATTATTTTCCTTGAGTAAGCTTTAAATTTTACCTGCCTAAAATGGAGGCACGCCACTGAGTAAGATATACAATATAACTCCTGCACTCCACATATCAATTTCCTTTCCATATCTACGCCGTAATACTTCAGGAGCAACATAGTAAGCACTCCCGACTATATCCCGATACACCTTTCATGCCAAAGGTACCGAGAACAATAAGAAAAGAATGAAAATGGTTATATTACACACAGACATGCATGAGATATGATTTTTTTTTTTTCATTTTCAGAAAGAATTCACTTTCAAAGGCCAATTATTGCCAAGCATAATTCATGTTATATACTTATAGTGAATGAATATGTGAATATATGTATCCCTGTTATATTTGTGTTCGCAGACACCGGTGCACATTCATGCACGTTTAAACTTCAATTTAAGCAAGTGACATGATGTTTGTAGTCTTTATACAAATTTTAATTCAGTATAAAGCTATGCAACTTTCACACAGTTATAGAAGTCAAATTCTATCACCATATAAATGAAATTTATTCTTCTGAGTCAGTTTAAGGGAAATCAAGAAAAATGAAGCTAAACCAGAATTTCTGAAAGCAGCACTTCCTTTATGCATGGATGAAACTTATTCACTGCTAAACATAGTATGAAGATTAGGGCATAAACATAGAGGAAACATCAATATAAATGCTGGACACTAATACAGTTTCAGTTAAAGACAGCTGACCTATTCAGCTTCTAAGTACAAAGTGATGGCTTTCTTGGACTTAATCAACCAGGTATAACAAATGGCCCATTCACCATTTCTATTTTGTGACAAATGATGATCCCAGAGAAAAAAGTTGAACTTTCAAAATGTTATAGTCACACAATATCATATACAATTAAACTAAATTGTGAATAGGAAATGCAGGCAATGAATTCAAGGAGATGGCCAAGTCAAATTGGGGAAGCTTACCTGCCATCTTAATTGGCAGAAAATGCCATCTGAACCAATACTATTTCAGAATTCTAATTAACTTAATTGACTTATTCTTCTTTCAATACTAGCAATATTATTTAGGGGTTAGGGAAAAGCTTAGAATCATTCATGAGCGGGTGGTTAAGACGAACTAACAATTTACATGCATAGAATAAAGATCCACAGCAGAACATGCTAAAACAATAGGAATATGCATAAATTTCCAGCAAACGAGAACCAAAAATTGAATGTGCAAATGACCAGATAAAAAGAGTGATAACAATTTACCCCTTTCAATGAATACCGATAACCTGAAATCTGTGGCCTTCAAAGGAGCATTCTCATCCTTGCTAGACAACAAGAAATTCTCAGGCTTAAGGTCCCTATGCATCACACCCATAAAATGACAAGCATGGACAACATTTACAATTGCCCTGCATATGGAAGCAGCTGCCCCTTCACTATAATGTCCCTTAGCAATAATCCTATCAAACAACTCACCACCAGCACACAATTCCATTACAAGGTGAACAGAATGCTTATCCTCATAAGCACCTTTAAACTCCACAATATTAGGCTGTCCACTCAAATGCTGCATAATTTGTATCTCCCTTTTCATATCTTCCTTATCATTCTTTGTAACTAGTTTCCTCTTAGATATAGTCTTGCAAGCAAATTGTTTCCCAGTTGAATTCTCAGTGCAAAGATAAGTTACACCAAACTGACCTTTTCCCAATTCTTTACCAATTGTATAGTGCATCGTTATTTCTTCATATGGCTTACCAAGAATTGTATCAATCCTGGGGCCAGGCTTGGGGCTTGGGGCTTGGTGCTGGAGCAACTGGCTCCCAAGGTGTTTGAGTCCCTGGCTTTTGAGGGATGTGGTGGACTTGGGGCTCAGCTGGTGCAGGCCTAACAGGTTCCTGGTATCATTGTTGATGCACGGCAGCTGGTGCTCCTGATATGTAGCCATTGTGTTGTGGCTTTGAGTCTTTGCTTTTTGTCAGACAACCACCCATCTGGTTTTACTTGTTACTACCAAGTTAACCAAAGACTGAAAAAAGAACTGAATTTTGATTGAAAGAAAACTAAGAAACTGGATCAGAATTCAATGATTTATTAGAATAAAGGTAAAAATGAAAAAGACCCAGACTTAGAAACTAAAAGAAAAGGTGATGTTTTAAACCAAGATGGGGACTTGGGAATATGCTGAGGGATGTGATGATAAAGAATCCAACTTTAGGCTTGTGAGGGAAGGGTTTATGAAAAAAAAAAAAAAAAGTAGATCAAAGTTTCTGGCTTTAAAGAAGAAGGGGAGGCTATGACTATGTAACAACACAAAGGGGAAGCTTTGCTTGGCTGGCGGATTTGTTCAACTATTGAGTTATGTTTGAAACATTGAATTTTGATGAGACCAAAGTGGGAACGACACTTCCTGGCAATGGACGGCAAGCTGCAGCCAACATAACAAACCTGTCATGAAAAAAATAAAAAAAAGAAAGTGAAAAAATCATTAATTCATTAATTCATTACTCAACCATTTTTTTAAGAATTCATTAATTCATCAGTTAAGATTTTCCTATGATAATATACGTATATGATTTACAGAGCAAGAATTAGAAAAAAAATCAAATTTAATACTTTTAATTTTGCATTTTTTTACTCTAATTTGGTATTGGCTAAAATGATATATGTAGATTATGATGATTAATGCATTATTTCTCTTGAATTTGATAAAAATAATTACATTAAATAAAAAATTTCTTAAAACAATAAATAAATTGATTAATAGTCATAGAGTCCCTGAAAAACATGACATAAAAAATGAAAGATTGAAAAAAATCATGGACGAGATTCATCGTATGTGAATTCTTGAGCCACGTGATCATCATAGGAACTTTCATAAAAGTGGATCACAAAATAAAAAAATAATATTAAATTTAATAATTTTGCTAAATAAAATATTAAAATTTTGATTAAAAAATATAAAATATATTATATGATTTTACCTTTCACTTTTTTTTTTTTTTAAAAGAAGATTTAAGTCCATTAAGATTTCTTTCGCAACTTAAAGAAAAAGATTTTTATTACGTCATAATTTGTTATATGATTGAATTTTTAAAGATTCAATTATAAAACAGTGGGAATATTTTTTACTCTGTTAATGATCTTCAAGTGATGGTTCCATATTTTGTTGATAACAAAAGATTATTTGATGTCATAGATTAGGATTTCACCAACCATAACAAGCTAGCAATTTATTAATTAAGGGAATTTATTAAAATCTAAGGTGGATTATATTTAATAAGCCACCAAAAATGAATGAAGAGTCCCTAAAAGAAAACTTTTGGGTAAGAAATTAATATTTTTTTATGCTCAGAAATAAAAACTCCAAATTTTAAGATTTTGGAATACCATTTAAAAACTTTGATGGGCTAATAAAATGGATTTGGAAATTTCAGTTCTTTAAACAATTTCTTATTAGGTTACTTTAATTAGTCGTAAGCCACTTAATTTTTTATTTGATTGGGTTTGGTCAAAAACCCGTAAGTTGTTGTATTTCCATTAAAAAATAATTATCCATGGTTTTATTCTTTTTCCTTTGTCTCACTGCAACCCAATTTTGTAAATTGGAATTTGTTTTTATATTGAGAAAAGGAAATTTTGAATACTATTTTTTAAATAAAAAATCATGTGCTGTTCACCGAATCAATATCAAGTGTTATAATAAATTAAAAAAATATGTTTTGTATTTGGTATATCAATACAAATTATATATTAAATTTTTTTATATTTTATATATATTTGATATGAAATAAATATAATTCGGATGAAGTATGAAATGTCTAAAATTTTCATATTTTTTACGCATTTGGTGCATTTGGTATTGTACGTAAGATTTATATTTTATATAAGAAAAAAAAAAAGAACAAAAAGCAAAAAAAAAAGAGTTAATACGTTGCATACTTTTAATATCAACTAGGTCTGAAAAAATAAAATATATAAAAAAAAAAGAAAAGAAAAAAGAAATTAGCATAGCATCTATACTAAAATTGTGCCCGACTTGTTTAACATATGAAATGTCTGAGCTCAGCTTGGACTCCAATCGAATTCTGAGTTTTTGGTTTCAAGCTCAAAATAGCCAAAGAAAATCAGGACAATCAAGCAACAATCCCCGTATCCAACTCCCTTCAGCCACAAACACTTGCAAACTCAACCTCATACAATAAGCCCAATAGCATTTTGCAATGTTTTTCGAAATGTATTGCCTTGCATCCTTCTTACTGTAATGATTAGAACCTCTTAATGAAAGAAGATATAATGATGATAAACTCTTTGGCCATTATACGTTAATAATTAATTTTCCTTGTTTCCATGGAATCATCATTCACACAATCTGATTTGGAATTCTTGTCATTCCCTTGTTTGTTATTTCACTTTATTACTTTGTTATATTCATGTCGGTTTCTCTCAGGGAAAATAGACGATTCATTTATCATCATCCATGCACATGGACGCCACTTGAGATAGTTAAAAGCATCCCAACAGGGAGATGGAGCAACTTGTTAATGTTGGTCAGGATAGAATCTAGAACTTGAAAAGCACAAGTCCTGGTAAAAGCACCAGGGCAAGCGATACTTAAGCTATTCAGATGTAGTTTATTATCCAAAAAAGAACAGTTTTGAACGAGCTTATTATTGAGAAGAATGTTATAGCTACCCATACCTAGCACCTTATGTAACTGGAAGTTGGATGCTTGACCTGTAAATATAAAGTTAGGCTACATAAGTTCTCTTATGCACCATTATTAAAGTATAAAAATGTGAAAATGAAAACGAAATGGAAAGAAAACACAACAAATATATGAGATTAAGAAAAAGACTGACAAGAAAAATACATTCAGAAGTCAGAACTTATGTTAAAGACCAAGTTCTTGGAATCCCAGCACAAGAGTGGATGGGATGCTTGGTAACCTGCAAATTGATAGCCTCAAGTTTGCCGGGCTATTCTTCGACTACTTCAAATGTGCATACTGAAACAAATGCCCTTTGGATGCTGTATTCGTCCGAAGTGTGATGGCGTGGACCCGTGGACTATAGAAACACACCCAACATAGTCTTCCAGCTCCCAAATGAGTGATCCATGAGTAGAAACTCCAGTCCATGATATGAGGTCCTTGGCGTCATACTTCACGACATGGTTCAGCCCAATGGTTTCTGCGGTACCACCAGAGTTGAGATCATAGGCAAAGAAATTAACTCCTTTATCTTCCAACATAGCCTGATACAACTTACCATCGACAACATCAGCCTTTGATTCTCAATCACACTTTCTCAAATTATCAACCAGCGAATTACTCGTTTCCGAAAAAGTATGATTCGCCCATTGATTACTTTTGACATCAAAAGAATAGAGTCCCTCAGTACGATCTTGTGATTCGGTTAGCACATATACGACACTGCGAATAACTGTATACCCCTTGAGAAAATCTGAGCATCCTTCATCGCATAGAGAAGCATACAGCGGATCTGGAAGAGCAGACCAATTCTTCCCTTTTGGGTCTAAAACCTCAAAGAAGGGATTAGGTCTCACAAGCCCAAGTGAAAAAGCCGTATAACTATCTCCAGTGAGGGCATAAATTTTTCAACGGACCACGGTCGCAAAAGGATGAGGTTTCCCTCCAAGCAGAGCTGGTCCTAAGCTCCATGCATGGTGACAACTCTTTCTTCCCATGTGGGGTATCTTCTTCTGGAGATCGCACACATAAACATCCAGGGGAAATACGTAACGTGTTACCTCATTACAATCACCTCCAAAAATATAAACCTTCGAGCCAACAGCTGCGTAACCCATCTGTATCCCAGCTTTTTGAGGCAGCCGACAAACACGTTTGAACAAACGAGCTTCGATATCTAAACCGTAAACATATAAAGATCGAAACTCGCCTAGATCGTTAAACATATAGCAACCCTTTTGGATAATATTGCTACTACTCTGCTGGCCAACGGCAACTATCCCTATCTCTTCTGATGACGCCTCAGATTGCTTTTCACGGCGGCGCTGCCTACCTTTTCTGACCTCCATATGTTTCTTTGGCTATTCCTCCTTTTGCCATATTCTCATTTATTTATTTAGCTTTAGACTATACACATTATACCATGAACATGAAGAAGAGTTTTTTCATCAGGGTTATTATATATTGAATATTTTATGTATAAATATTATTTTTAATACTTTATACATATTATTGACTATTTTATTAAATTAATTTAATTATTTTTGTTGTTGTTTTGAATAAAAAAAATAGAATATTGTTATAGTAAAGGCAAATGAAAATTGAGGGCAACGAATTTTGAAGCAAAGAAAACTTGATTTTTGTTTTGTAGTAGACAAGAACAGTTCCATCTTTCTATACTTCCTTTAAGAAGAATAACTTAATATTAAAATGCTTAGTTTTTCCGTGAAAACACAAGATTTTGAGAGATAGCAATAGCAACTTGGTATTCAACAAAAATCTTCGTGCTTTCCTCCTGTTCTAAGTTAAGATTGATTAAAATATTTCTCAACCACAAAGCTTGATTAACAGCAGTTGTTGCAGCAACAAACTCTGCTTCAGCTATGGATTGAGCTACAGTTTCTTGTTTTTTCAAGCTTCATGAGAAAACACTAGAACCAAGAATGAAACGATATCCTGAAGTGCTCTTCATATCATCAATGGAACCTCCTATGAGTTTGTGTTGCTTAGTTCCCTGAATAAATCCTTGTCATGTGTCATGTGGTTAGTACAACCACTATCTATAAGCCAACTCTCACTTGATTCGATGCCAGAGAAACATGTAGCAACGAATAGGTGATCATCCTCCCCTTGATCAGTAATCTTTGTCTCTTCACCATGTTGTTGATTTTTGTTTTTGTAGATAACAGCTTCATGCCCCATCTGATTGCATTCAGTGCACTTGGCATCATGTTTTCTCCAGCATCTAAATGGAGGATGATCCTTCTTTCCTCAATGTTGGTAAAGTGGATAGGATTTCTTATGATTTTCATTCTTTCATTTTGCATTGGCTGATGCTGTACTTACCTCATTTTCTTCAAAATCTTTCTTCTTCTTTCTTTTGTTTTTGGCCATGTTTTGATGCTTGGCTACCAAAGCTCCTTTAATTGTTGTATCCTTCCTCATCAGTCTTTTTTATTTTTGTACTTGCAATGCGTTAAGCAATTCTGCTAAGGAAATTTTTGACAAATCCTTGGTATTTTCCAAGGTAGTGATGGTTGCTTTATATCTTTCAGGTACTATAAAAAGAATTTTTTCTACAATTCTTGAGTCAATAAATTCAGATCCAAGAAGCCTCAATTTGTTTACGATACTAAAAAGCCTATAGGAATAATCTTTAATTATCTCGAAGTCCTTCATTCTTTGAAGTTCAAATTTCCTCATCAAGTTCAGGACTTGCATCTCTTTAATTCTTTAATCTCCTTCATATTCGTTCTTGAGATAATCTCATATCT